ACACGCTCCACCGCCGGCTGGGATGATGCTTATGTAGTGCCAGTGAAGACGTTCAGCACGGGGTCCAAGTGTTGTGAAGGTGACACTATACCTGCACACTTGAGCCGAGCAAGTCTTTCTTCGAAGGAGTGGAGCACATACACGTGAGTTGCCCCGTGCCATTGATGGCATCGTGGATAAGCTTTATTATCACCATTAATTTGTCTTCATCATCATGGGAGTCGCAATGGTGTGAAAAATGGTCTATTGATTCAAGGGCATCTGCTGGATCTGGTATCTGGATCTGCATCCAGATTTTGACTAAGTGACCACAGCCTGGGATTCAATATTTAGTAGTTATTAAAAATGCCGACCCCACCGGCAGGACTCGAACCTGGAACCTTGCTTTTCATGAGCAATGCTCTAAACATCTGAGCTATAGGACCAGAGTGAACCTAGAAGGCGCTGACAAATTTTCCCTTCCCTGGGGTACCAACCTGCCTTTGGAGTGAAAGGCTTCTAGTTCGGCCTGCACCCATAGCTCAGATGGTTAGAGCATTGCTCATGACAAGCAAGGTCCCGGGTTCGAGCCCTGGTTAGGTTAGCATTATTTTCTCGCTTTTCTGGCATTTCAGTTACACAAATCCCATACATTTTCTATGTATGTGGTTTCTGCCTAGTTTGAAGTTGGAATTGTCAGACATTGTTATCTGCAAATCGTGTTGATAGAAATCGGTCCTTGACGAAACTTCAAATTACATATACCGGATAACCGGTATGTTCGGAGTAAGCCCTATTTGAATTATCAGGACTCCACCTGTAGTAGGACCAGGAGAGGAAGAGGTAGGCATGCCATTTTCATTGTCATGTTGCCATGCCGACAGGCTGACAGGTGAGCCGATGAAACTGCTCTACTCTCTTCCGGGCATTGAGAAAACGTGCGGGTCAGTTTGCTGCAGACGATGACAACTTATGTCAGCAAGTCGAGAGACCCAGAGGCGGCATCCAATGATGCGTGGATGGACTTTCTGCACAAATCGTGGAGTTGAAGGAGGAGGTTTGTGTCTCCTTTGGAAGTAAGTACACCATGATTGTCAAGGTCCTCCTCGGAGCTGCCCGCCAGTACTCTCAACAGCCTGCGCATGCACCATTTATCGTACCAGCTATAGGAGCAACCGTGGAAGCAAGCAGCAGGAAGCAACTGGAGCGCACATGGAGGCCGTATCCCGTAGCGTCACTTTCGCCCCGAACGAGGAAAGTGGCCCCGAACTGAGTGCTCGGACGCAGCCGACTATTAGCCCATCATAAGACACCGAAAACAGCTGCGGGCGCTAATCGGCATTGTGTTCCCGAATCGGATTAGGAACGAGAGGCTCTATGAGCGTACCGGCGCGGTTCCTCTCGGCATTATCATCTTGAGAGCTAGGTGGAGGCTCTTTGGGCACGTCCTCCGGCTCCCGGCTGACTCCCCACCATCACTGGCCATGGGAGCGTACTTCGCAGAGCCTCGTCCAGCGGGCTGGAGGGGACGACCAAGACACACACTACCAACGCTACTACAAGATGATGCCAAGCGGATTGGACTTTCCTTGTCAAGCAAAGTCGATCTGGAGGCGTTCCGTGCCCTTGCTGCTGACCGAAGCGGTTGGGTGGGCATCTGTGCCCGAGTGGTGTCGGCACCCTAGTTTTTGTCTTCTGTCCGCATATTTCTTCTTTTTCTGAAACTGTTATGGTCTTTTGTATCTATTCGAAGTGGCTTATGCGAACATTTTTAGCTGGTTTGCATGATTTGCTAGCCACGTGAACACCGCCAGATGATGACTTCAGGGGATTTCTTAAAAAAACCCTGGTGTAAGCGACCTCTGGGTTCAGCGACCACCTGCTCTTATTACCGACCGTTTTCCCTTGCACGAACAGTTCTACACGTACACAGAAACTCCGTAGCTAGCTGCTGCATGTACAGCGCAACCCGCCACGTCCGGTAGCGGGCATTACGGGAGTACCCCAGTGCGCACCTAGCGCTAGCGCTGCTGATCCATGCCATGCATGACAATGATGCCGTTCACCAGGGAGTAGTAAAATACCTACTCCGCCCCCGGCTCACAATCGACCGATTTGGCTTTTCTTTTTTTGCGCGATTGTTCGACAGTTGCGCGATCGATCTGGAGCTAGCTGTCTACGCGACGTCGATGATCGACAGATCGCGCAGCAAAATCGATTGACCGTGCAGCAAAATCGATCGATTTCGTATATCCCTAGATCGCGCACAATACATGCATGACCATGTGCTGGTTTAGGCACCCAAGATGGCAGAGGTTGTATCTGCTCACGGGGAGACAGATATTCATAGAGACCGATCAGATGTTCTAGACATGATAATAAATAATACTTCGGAAGGACTGCAGTGTCAAAACGTTTCTTCAGAATTCCCAAAAAGCTCTCTCTCTTTCTCTCTTTCATTTTCTCTCTCTCTCCTCAACCATTCTACCTCACCTTCCGTTGGCGCACTAAATCACCCCCTTCTTTTAGGCTATGGTGCCCAAGCTCACGTTAACGCCGACCATAGGTCGGTGTTGTGGGCTTGCTGACAGGCTTGCTTTGCAGCCCCTACTCTCCCTGCTGTTTTTGTTATTGTATACTCTGTTGTCTTCTCCCCTTCTGACGAGTAGGTTGTGTACTAGTACTTAGTAAAAAAATTAAAAAATAAACTCCATTGCAGCGTATATCTTGCACTTGAAAACACCGCCATTCCGGCAACACGCTCTCAGCTGCACCAAATAAATAACTTTGCCAATATTTCGCCCATTGGGCATCATTAGGCATGCCCTGATGATGCCCAATGGGCGAAATAAAGTTATTTATTTGGTGCAGCTGAGAGCCCGTTGCCGGAATGGCGGTGTTTTCAAGGACTGCAGTGTGTTGAAAAAAATCCACATCAGGACCATGGCAAGTATTTGGCAAACCGTGGACTCCAGTCATATTGGACAGTGTGTGCAATTGAGCAAAAGGAAGGGGTTTACGGAACAGCAGGCTGGAAGACATAATAATAATAATATACATTGGTAGCAAGCTATGGCTTCATTCGTACGAGCCCCTCGTACCATGCACGCCTCTACCAACACAACCAGTGCAATAGGGCTTGAAAGTGCTACGTCACAGCATAGCAACAATTTCAAAAATTGAATCCACTTGGATCCAGTTTTTGTATGGATCCAAGCACGTTTCAGGCCGTCTTACTCACAGCAAGGTGATGTAACCAGTGAAACTGACTGATTTGGCTACTGGGGGCGGGGTTACAACTGGTGGCGAAGTAAAAGTCACCCCTGCATACGACATGAGTGGGTTGCTATGCACCCACATACTGAGGCAATAGAGAGGTTCCGGGGTACGATTTTCCGTGCCAAAATCCGTGTGGGCGCTACGGATTTTTCCAAGCGTGCTCCATACGATTTTTCGGCACGGAGAATCCGTGTGGACTGGCTTTCACACGAACCATGTTTCGTATGGAGATTTTGCGTCATCGGGTGCAGAAAGATTTTTCGCGTACAAATTTGGTACAAGAAACATGGAGTTTCCGCGGGAAGTTTTGATTTCGGTACAAATTTTCAAAATAAAAAGGCATAGCGCGGGAATGTGACGTGTTTGTGATCGTAACCTAGGCAATGACGGCAAACACATAAGTTCCGTACTCCGGAACATTTCACTGCTCGAAAACGACGTATAAAAAATCCGTAGCGCCTCTACGGATTTTGGCACGAAAAATCGTACTCCGGAACCTTCCTAATAGGCGATTCACACGACAGGCAAATCCACGTTTGTCAAGTGCCCGCAGGAAGTGAAACGTGAGGCTGCAGTTCACACGGCCGCGGGTGGCGGCCAGAGCTCCCGCGAGTATCCGGTGAGTATACGGCGTTACTGTGGTGATTTGGAATGAGTACCCAAAAACTAGGGGTGAAAGTTGGCACTGAGAACCCGAGTTCGAGTACTCTGATTTTCTCCGATCGAATATTCGAGTATTCGAGTATTCTTGATATCCTAAAAATCGCACACCAATGGCCTTAAAAATCACATGATACAACCCTGATTGAACCGATTGGCAGTCCTTTTCTCGGGTGTATTGGTTGGTGGGTCATTTGGGCTCTCTCTACTCGTGTACAAGTGTTCACCACACAGTCTGCACATCAATATCTGCTGACTGCTGCTCTGAAATGCAGACTTCTGTGGCAAATGCATGTACCATGTATGAGCGAGTACTCTGATTTATTCCGAGTACGATTATATTTGAAAAATCCAAACGACTATTCGAATATTCGGTATAATTGTTTCACCCCTACCAAAAACAAAGGCCAAACAACCAGGGTTCAAGACTACCGTACAATAGTACGACCTCACAGCCTCATAACTGTAAAAGTGCCCGCAGATGAGTGCATCCGCGGGCAAAAAGGCCATGGACACTTTTGATTCCCGCGGGCAAATTTTGGTCACCCGCAGGAATATCTCCATGGTGACTTTCCTGTAAACGTGGATTTGCCTGTCGTGTGAATCGCCCATAAACAAAGTCACACCTTAGTGGATCCAAAATAGAAATCTGATGTCAAATTACTACTCCCTGGCCGTTTTTGACGTCATCACTTTCAAGCCTTATATCTGCGAGTTGTAAGTGCGCATCGCCAACTCTATGTGCATGTGGTCCATGGATTATGGCACACTACACTTCTACAGCTACAGCGTGGCAAGTGAGGTGAGCTGAGCTGAGCTCCGGACGAGAAACTAGATCTAGAGTAGAGTGATCATCAGATCATGGATACGGGACCAAAAAGTAAGACAGGGTCAAGAGTACAAGTTGCGATTTAGACAAATTTGACGGAAATCTCATGGGGTTTGGAGTGGATACACTACACAGCACACCTGGTACACTGGCCTGGGGAAGCGCGCTAGCGCTAGCGGGCATCTAGCGCTTGTTGTGCATAAATCTCAGATCACGGGGAATGCACCAGTTCAAAGTAAAGCTGGAAGTGGAAGAAAAGTGAAGTGCATCAGTTCTAATCATGCTTGACTGTATAGTGCTGACTGCTGTGTGTTTGTCATGAATGCCATCCAAAGGTAGTTTTGAAAGTAACGTTGATGGACTGTTTACTTTGGTTTTGAAGAAGACGAAGAAGTGGTGTACCATTTAGCTGATAAGATAATATGGAAGACGACGTGGAGTTGGGAATCTTCACCGTTCGTGGTCAACACCTGACGACTGTCTCAATCGGTGAATCGAAATGGTGTTGTTTTGTGGAGATATGTTCAAAATTGCTGCCTGGTGTAAACAGAGCGAATATTCACAATCGTGTGAATCGCTCTAAAGCACGAATGGTTCTTGCTGACAAGGTTGTTGTAGCCGCGTTGAAACGCCAAGAAGTTATTACGAAGCACACAGGCAAAGTATATTTGATTAGCATTGAGAATATTTCTCTTGTACTATCATTATTTGATGAAAATGCACCGGGAGACCCTTCGCAAGATTCCAATCTAGAGGACGAAGACGGAGGTAATCCAGGTGAAGAAGGCGTAGACAAAATGGTTGACGATGAGGAGTGTGAGACTGAAATTGGTGCTGAAGAAGTTATTACTGAGTCTGGTCTGCCTGAATCGCTGAACGATGGTGATGCTGACGGTGATGGTGATGAAAACTCTGATGAAGACGACAACATGGACGAAAAGATTGTCGATTCAGTAGTACAAGTTTCAGCTTCGAACGTCCCTGTTCCTGGACCAGGTCGTGGTCGTCGTCGCTGTCCTAATTGCTCAACAATTCTTAAATCGAAGCAACCCAATTGTACTCATTGTGGCAAGCGGTTATCAACTCCTGGTAGAAAAAGACGCAGCGGTTTTCCAGGTTAGTGATATTTGTTGATTGCAATGGTGAATGGAACGTCATTCAGTTGTGCTTGCTGTGGGGCTATCCGTTGAGTTTTTTGTTTGCTTATTGAATTGCAGTCAGTTGTTCTCCTTGTAGAAATTGTTTTGATTTTAGTACCTGTGTGCGTTATAATGCACCATGAATAAGCAGTGCTTTTTTTGTTGGATCAATGGCAACCCCACGGTGAGCTTGTATACGTATCCTGTTGCCAAACTTGGTTTTGAGGAATGGACAAACCAGGGATGAATGCGTCGAGAGGAGTTTGAGAGGGGCCGGGGTGGACTTTAAGGATGGGGGGGGGGGGGGGGGGCTGGTAGCCTTGCCTGAAATGATGTCAATTTAGTGTACTTTTATTGTTCAGAATCCAATCCAGAAAACATGAAGGTGCGGTAGTACTCAGGCGCGTTCGCCGGTGCCCTTCAAGGGGGGGGGGGGGGTTGCAGGGGGCCTCCCGGGAAATTTTCAAAAAAAGAAGCAAAATCCTGCATTTTGAGCGAAAAAGGGGGGTTCCGGGCACCCAGGAACCCATACGGCGCACGCGCCTGGTACTACATACAGTGTAGTAGAGCTAGGTATAAATGCTGGTACTGGTGGGAGTTTACAAAAATTACAATTTCTACAAAGGTGCAAGGGTGATTGTATTACCCAATTAATGCACAATGTCATATAAGCACATGCGCTTATAACATATAAGTGAATTTTTGCTACGCATCCAATTTTCAAAAATGAAATATTTTCACCTAAATGCGCATGCGCGATCAGAGTTCGTTTGCCAGAATCTTTGTGTTTGACTAGGTCTTGTAGTGTCAGTTTCATAGTTCCTGTATGCTGTATGCTGTTTACAGACTTTTATCCGTGATTGTGTCAAAGTGATAATTTTGGTAGTACTTCGCTTATAAGTGAGAGTGCGCTTATAAACCCAATACAGGCGCATGCGCCTATATGTGCCGTTAATACGGTAGCACATACTATGAGAACAGTGTAAAAGAAAAATGGAATGTGTGAAAATCTACTGTATATATTTCGTTTGGAATTAACTTTCGCTATATTCGTTAGGGGGTACGAAATAACTTACCGGTAAGTTTTTTTTCTGAACGTTCGGGGTGACAGACCTGGACCAAAAACGAAATTTAGTACGTAACGAACCTGCTGGTGAAGTGGTCTAACGAAAGATTTCGTAAACGAAAATTTGTACTTACCGTAGTAAATGTAAAGTGTGAGATATGACATTCTCCTTCTGAATGCATAAGCTTCTTTTGCACTGTTCTCACGCTATGCGATAATACAATCACCCTTGCACCTTTGTTGAAATTGTAATTTTTGTAAATTTCAATGGGGACATTATCGCACACTTGAAATAGTGGGAGTCTTTTTCTTATGACTTCAGTTTGCAAAATAACATGTGTGCTTTTTTGGGATCGCGTACTGCCCGAAGTTTTTATACTGGTTTTGTACGAATCACTCGGTCCATCTCAATCGACAGGTGCGCCTCAGTTGCCCTGTTCCACTGTGTCCACTGCTCCTGGGGGTCAACCATAAATTACATAATGCAGTGGTGTGCAGCAGTGCACGGTGCTTGTTGAATGCACGCTAAACGCTACGGAGAAACATGCGGGTACATGTATGTAGTGATAAAGCCCTGGTTCCTGGTTCATGCCTCCAGTATGGTGCATTTGACTACAGTCAACTTTGCGTATAACGACACTCGGCGGGGCATCAGAATAGTGTCCTTATACCCGAAGTTTCATTATAATATGTATTACAGCTAGATGGGACTTCGCTCTGGGCATGGAAATTCTGTCGTTATTCGCTAATTGTCGTTATATCCGCAGTCGTTATTACCGAAGTTGACTGTATTTTGAGATTGTGAGGCGGAGCATAATGCACATCTCTCCCTTCCCACCACCTTGACAAAAAAATCATGGTTCACATAAAGGCCGATTCATACTTTATTTCGCGTACAGGAAACGTGTCGCTTCGCGAAAAAGTTGATCTGAGCTCAACTATTTCGCGTACGGTAAAGTCATCGCACGACGGTCGCGCGATGACTTTCCCGTACGCGACATGAAGTATGAATCGGCCTTTACTCTCGCTTAGACTGAGCTTTCCGAATCCATAGCAACGCCTCCACCCTCATACTTCAAGAACTTACTACTTGTAGGATCAAAGGCCCAGATGCAGCTCCTGAAGCCTGAACCGAAACTTTGGATTATTCAGGGTACTTTTAATACCTTCAGTACACGCCCTTCTGGGTGAAAATTTGGACAATTAGTGTGCGTCGTGTAGCCAAGGACTGTTTGTGTGTTGCGAGTTGGGTGCACTGAAAATATGACAAGGCTACAATGGAGCTTCGAAATTCTTTAAAAAAAAAACTTTTAATACCGTACCGTCAATATCCGGAGTGTAGTGCACAGCTGCTATTTTGAGTTTGAAATAGAATTTATAATGCATCCTATCTGTACACTATTCAGCAAATGCTATTGGGATATTCATGAGGGTTTTTGCTGTTGACTGGCCTTTAATTAGTGACGCAGATTTTTTTCAGAATAGAAGGTGAGGTGAGGGTTTTCGTATCAGGGTATATTAGATCACACTAGTATCGGTGGGCACTTGCCACATACGAGTATGTTCTTTTCTTTGTGATAGGGGCAATGATGGCAATCCATTGAGCCTTTTTGATTGATTGATTTTGCTTGTGTTGATTCTGTGACTTCTGCTCTGCAGGTGCGTACGGTCGGCGTATGAAGCGAAAGCGTTTAGAAGCCAAAGAGCAACAAATGGAGCAACAGATGGTGGAAGGTAAATGTTTGTTGGAATATGTATGAGCATAGGCCAAGGAACTAATAGTTGTGTCACCCATTGACAGCATGTGAACGCTTGGAGGTCACGCATCATGACTTTACCATTTTAGATGCTCTGTACTTACCTCCCATGCATACCATTCATGTACTTGGTCCGCGTCCGCGATATTGTCGCTTATCTTTCAGCTTTGTTTATATGTCGCCAATGCTTACTTGGCAGCCCATTTCATCCCAATTTTGGTTAGCAAGTTAGGATACTACCTTCCATTTCAAAACTATAGACGCGTACCTAGGCAAAAACCATTATGCCAGCATCTATACCACATCGTATTCCGAAAACTATTCTCAAAAAGTTCCAGCCAAATTTGAAATATTTCAAAACCCTACGCGTCTATAGTTTTGAAATGGACTGTAGTACCTGAAAGGTCTAGCTAGAGTTCGAGTGGATTTCGAGAGCGACGGGTGGGTGATTCTTATTGATACAGCGCCGCATCAAAATAGATAATCTTGTTACGCTGTGCAGGCAAGAGCAGCGCAAGCTGCATGAAAGTAATCGGTTACTCGGAATCAGCTCCATTTTGCTGAACGGCCGAGATCGCTCACCTCAGGGATCGCTCGTCAAGCTGAGATCGCAGCTCCCTTACCTCCAGCTCAACGCTCGGAGTATCCAGAGCGTCGTGGAGATTTGCAAGTACTGTACGCGTTGTCGTCGTCGTTCAAAATAAAATCTTGCAAAGAACGGCGGCTGATTCGAACCACACAGGCTGTCGTGCCGCCCACGCCACGTCCTATAGAGAAGGCGACCGTCACGATCGACTTCTCTTTAGAAAATAGCCAGGCAGCGGAGAGGAAGAGAGATGAGCTTGCAAAAGCAAGAGAGTCGATCCCGAGCAAAAATATTTGTCACCAGCGCCGAGAGCAGCGACGAGGAGGACCGAAAAAAGTAGGAACCCTTCCGTGGACAATAAATTCCTCACAGCTAGTTGTCATTCTATACCTTACCGTCCATCGTACCAAGTTTTATCCCTTCAAGTGCACGCGTTCATGTCCAAAAGCTAAGTTCAAATTGTCGAAAGATAAGCGACAATATTGCTGACGCGGACCAAGTAGCACAACGGCTTTGTGTCGCGAAGGAACTGTCACCTATCTTGCAGGTATCACGCATGTACATTGCACTTCAGGGATGAATTCATCCGGTATTGCATCGCAGTTTGCTATGCAAAATCGATCTACTGCTACTCGAAAATCACCGCGACTAGCAGAAAACTGTGATACATACAGGCTATCCATACGCATATATTGCAGTGTAGGTGGAACGTGAATACTCTCAATCTGCGTGGACATGTATGGTGCAAGTAACCACATGTAGGGTGGAAGCTAGCGGGACATGTACACAGACATCTTTTTTGTGCTAATCAAAAATCAAAGATTGCTACACAATTGAGATTATGTGTAGCAAAAACTGCTATGCAAAAATAACAGTAAATTCATCCCTGCACTTGTCACATGTGGCAACTTCCTATGCACACTATACATGCTGGCGCACTTCTTTGTTCACACATCTGTAAGGTGCGACATTAAGCTCTTGCATGGCACTAGCTATAGCATCTTCTAGACGCTGGTCCTTGTTCCTGAGCCTTCTTTTAGATTCTTGCATATCCCGCTTGTTTCTCTTGTCAGCTTGCTGATAACATTATCGCCTTGCTGCTCGCTATATAAGCACACTATGCTACTCTCCTCATGCTCAGTGTATTGCATTTTGTTACTTACTAAATTGTACGCCTGCACTAAGTTCTTTAGTTCACAGAGTTGAATAAGTTCAACAAGATTTGGAATGCGAGTTCGTAAACCTGAGAAAGTTCCTTATACAGTCTTCAAGAATAATTGTGTGAGCCGTTGTATGACTAGACGTGGATCGACTCAGCACATTGGTTGCGATGAGGTCCGAATTGAGAAGGAAAAAGAAAGAAGAAAGATCAGCACACCTGACGAGGGTCCAAAGGCTAAGCAGAGTATGGATGCTGAAATGATCAGCACGCCTGCGGATGGAAGTGCAACTACAGGAAAGAGAAGCTCTGGTAGCAGTGGCAGACTAGCACGGCGAAGGGCAAAGCTACCACTAGTACAAGCGCAGAAGGCTGTTGCTGAGGCAAATCTGTCATTGGCAGAGCCAGAAGAAGAGGAGGCGAATTCCCGGGGTCGACTGGACCCGTCTTCGTCCCCAACTCCCAGCATTGCTGATGAGCGACGTGAGTACCATCGAGGGAGCTAGCCTACCAAACGCAGCTCGGGTCTTTACACGCTGAAGTAGAGCGGCTGCAAAGAGAAGCAGACATGCGGCGACATGAAGCCCTGAGATGGCAACGTGACAGGGATGCATTGAGTAATGAACTGGAACTGGCAAGCCAGGCCATGGAGAACGCTCGGGTTGAACTCGCTATCGAATTGAGAAGGGATTCGGAATAATGCTTACACACAGCTTATTTCAACTCGGCGAGTTGAGCCTGCAGCTTTCATTACGTTTTTTTCTTCATTTTAAAATACGATACCATGTAAGAATCTTGTCATATAGTACATGAGGGATGAAGTGCAGCAACATTGAGAACTGTTGGGGTGCACTTCGGGCTTGTCATGTAGTGTTAGCACCATGATATGCATACTTTTCAATGGGAGTTTGCTAGAGAGAGCCACTTGCAAGCGGGTTTCTGTGGTGTGGTATGGTCACGTGACTACTTGCAGCCTGCCTGCTAGCTCTGACCTCGGTCTCTGTTGTGTGTTTTCTCTTTCCAGTGGAGTACGACGATGACAAACAAACCATACCAACTGAACGTAAGTTCTATGCGCTGCTGGCAGTGCCCAGTGAGTTTGCGTTGTGAGGTAGCGGTATTTCAGATCAGCAGAAAGCTGGCCAGTATTAGTGAGACAATGCCTGAACGCGATGAGTGTGAACAATCTTTTGGTGTCCACTTTACTTCCTCTTGGCAAGCGATGTAATGCTCAATTTGCCTTGTGTATCATTGCTCCTTCCGCGTAGGACCCCGTCGCTGGCGTAGGTGGTGCACAAATTGCCAGGCAGCATGCACATCCACAGCGGTGACATGCCCTAGATGTGGCAACACTAACTTACGTGAAACCGGACAGGACGCACCGATGGCAATGGGAACTGCTGACGATGACAATGACGGTGATGATGTTGATGATATGAATGATGGCGGAGAAGAAGCAATGGAAGCTGGACATGGAGACGACGCTGAACAGGATGATTGTCCAAAACGTGAGTGAATCTCTTGGTCTCTCCCTCCATTCTCCGCGTTCGACCATTCTTCTCTGCTCTGTAGCGTGTGACCAAGCCATTGATAGCTGTATATCAGGTGTGTGTTTGTGTGTGTGGGGGGGGGGGGGGGGTGAACTGTTAAGTGAATATCGGTAACTTTACACCATTGTAACTTGACCAGGAATATTCTTTCTCTTCTAACATCTGATGTACAGTGCTGGCAACTGAAATCCGACCTCTTAGCGATGCGTTCAAATTCTAGCTGTCTCTATTTCGTAGTTTTGCTGTCCCGTTTTGGGTCTTTGCGATGTGAGCGCACCGCTCAGGGGTTGGATTTCAGTTGCCAGCACTGTACTACTTCTGTGCTGAGTGAGTTGTCATGTTGTCCTGACTGGGACCACCCTATTGTGAGAGATGCCTCTTGGTTTTAGGACCTTATCTGCTTGATTAACTTATAGCCACCATCAACCATCAGTTTGATTGCAAGCATTGATGCATGTTGAGGTGATGGCTGTGTGTCTATCTGTATGTGCATATGTGTCACAGCGAAAGGAGCTCGGAGCAAGTGGTGCCGGCACTGCGCTCTGTACATGCCCGAGAACTGCACGGAGTGCACAGCGTGTGGCAGACCGGTCAAGCGCAAGTACCGTCGCCGCTGCGCCAACATTTCCTCTCGGCCGGCAACTGCCAAACGCCGTGCTGCATTAGTGGCCAGGGCAACGACAGTGTCGGGACAGCCACGTCATCGTACCGACGTAGATGACCACCTTGGAAACGGAGACAACAGTACGTGTGTATGTGTGGTGGTGGTGCTGTGTATGTGTGGTGGTGTGTGTGTGTGTGTGTGGTTTGTGTGTTTGTTGCACTCCACTGCATGCCACATTCAAGTCCGCCGGCGCAATCTCGCGAGTACAACATCGTGACACGGTGTGCCCAAAGCTTACTTGACAAGAGTTCCTTGGTGTTCCGCGTCCGGCACTGTGCGGTTGCGACTGCAAGTCGTGTGGCTTGTGTGGCATGCGTGTTTGTTGCGCTTCACTGCAAGCAGGAGACTCGCGAGTAGGACAACTTAGAGTTGTGTACGGTACATGTTGCATAGTGTGTGTGTCAGCGGTGAGGCGGCAAAGATCACAATGTAAATGTCTACAGACAGTGTACTGTGGGTACATGGTTTCAAGTACATCCTGTACACGGTCTCAGCCCGTGGGTGGGTGCGCCCCATGTTCATGTGTTATGTAGGTATCCACATACACATATGCGCCGTGCTGCAGTGCAGACTGGTAAAATACCAGACTTTCTCCAGACCTATTGAAATTTCGGCAATATTTAAGACTTTTTCCAGGTCTGGATTTTTTATGCAAGACCTTTTCAAAACTTTCCAGACCCTGTATGCACCCTGATAGTTGACTTGTGATAACAGTCTTTTGAAGCAATGACTCCACTACTTTTTTTACTACTTTTGATGTGGTGCCTTCTATGCTATATATGTGGCCAGTTGATTAGATTTTTTTGAACCTTGCGGTGTGTGTTTGTCTGCTTCTGTGTCTGTGTGTGTGTGTCCGTGTCCGTGTGTGTCTCAATGTGTGTGGGTGTGTGTCTGTGTGTGCATGTGTTTACAGGTGAGCAAGGCATGGGTAGCGGTCCAACAGGCGGAAAATGGTGTTCTCGGTGTCAGAAGACAGCGCCACCTCTTGTAACGCATTGCTTAATCTGCGGCAAGGAGCTTAAGCGTGTCTATCGCAAACGCTCCGCCATATGGCAGCAAAACCAGCAAAATCAGGTACAGCAACAGCAAGAACGCCTGCAGGAACGACGGCGGGCTGGCATCAAAGGTTTGGCTGGTGTAGCGGGAGGATATGAAGTAACAGGTAGCGATGGCCAGCACCTCAATTGGTCACAGCGCTACAACTTAACGTCCTTTATTCCAGATGAAGAGCATGTGTCTACAGCGGGCGATGGTGCAAGACCCACCATGATGCCAGATAGTGTGGAGGTGCGTGGTGGACGGGCTGTACTGCGGAGAGCTGAGCTCAAAAGACACGAGAGCTACATGCCCAGAAACGCCAACGAAGCTGGTGAGTTGGTCGAATACGGTGTGCTATGTGCATGTACATCTACACTGCACCTGGTTCATGATGGACGGGGATGCTTCCACTGTCCATCCCAGCGTGGAAACGGATTCTGTTTGCTGGTCTTTGTGTGCATTTCTGTATTTTGGTGGATGAATTCTTCTTGCGGATTTACGATGCTATGGAAGTGAATTGGCATGGGCTCGTGGTCAATTTATTGGAAATTTTGTGCACACCATGTTGTGGCATTCTTCCCATGCAGTAATAGTATACATGTATGCGTTGCCCGTATGTGGTTTATTCTGTAATCTGAATTTCTTTTGTGCCCGTACCTGTATGCAGTGGGTATTGTGGGTGAGCAGCCTATGTTGCGCCGTCCTATTGTTGACCTTCCCCCGAGACCTACGCAAGCGACTGAGAGAGGTAATCTTCTTTTTGCTCTTCATTCCACGCTGTGAAGTTCCAGCATGTGGTGGAATTTGTCTTTTGTTGTTATTCTGTGCGTCGTTTGCGAAATGTCCTCTTCTTTTCCCCTGCTTTCTCTTGCTGTTCTCTCTCTCTCTCCCTCTCTCTCTCTCTCTCTCTCTCTCTCTCTCTCTCTCTCTCTTTCTGACCAGGCTTTGGTTTTGTTTCTTCTTCTCATCACCTGTTCTCATGCTCTGCTTTCGTGTTGTACAGAAAAGCTTCATTATGCGCAATGCTTTTTGAACATCAAGATGGGCGTGTCGCAATCCGATCTGATCGGGGTCATCACGGAAGCGCGCCATCGGCATCAATCTTCAATAGACTCATCTGCGCGATCATTTGAAGGTACATGCCTGTCCACTCTTGGAGCTGACATGCTCTTGAAACAGTGCTTCAGGGTAGTACTGATCAAAGTTGAACATACATATGCCTACCTTCTCACCCAGTCCAAGATATGTTACTGCATGTGTGAGAGACACACAGAGACTTATAGGGTATTCACACGACAGGCAAATCCACGTGCACCGGAACGTTGCTATGGTATTTCACTTGTGAACGAGAAAAGTGGCTGAAAAGTGCAAGCGAGCTGGGGGCCCGCTTTCACGATAATCGTGGCGTCCACGAGTACATTCACACCAAAAAGCGCGAAACAAGACTTGATTTTTTACGCGGCTCTTTTCACCATGATATTTATTGTATGCATGTTTTGAAAATTTGAAATACTCATGGCAGCTGGTAGGTGAATCATTAGCAGCTGGTAGGTGAATCATTCAAAAATGCAAACGTGCCTGTTGTTGAGTGCAGCCGTGTGAATCCACACTGTCACTTTTCTGGTGAATCAGTCCCTGTAAAACGTGCAAGTGCCTGTCGTGTGAATAGGCCATTACAGCGGTGTGGTGAGCCCATATGTGGGGTCATATTTTTCAAGTCTGTCCGTAGGTTGTAGATTTGGGGGTTGCCAATAGCCAATTGAGTCCTCTTCCAAGACTTCTTCTGAACTTCTTTTCCCTCTCCCCCGTGACCAGTTTCTGGTAATGAGGAATTACCATTGTAAGCGTGGTATGCGTGTGTGTGTGTGTGTGTGTGTGTGTGTGCGTGTGTGATGTGTGCGTGAAAAAAATGAAAAAGACCAAAAAGTAGGGATTCACTGGCCAGAAAAAACCACTTCATAGCGGTGTGGTGTAGACCAGGCTGAATAGTGGCAGTCAATTCTTCAGCCTTGCAAGCTGTTGAATGGTGCAATCCCAGCACAAGCTGCTATGGCTTCTGCTGTAACATCGCTATCATCACCTCCGGCGATGGGCGTCCAATGGTCCAATGGTGTATATGTGTGTGTGTACTTCCGTCCTTGCTTTCTTTCACCGAAGATAATATATTTGTGGTGGTTCCGTCACTGGGAGCTTTGTTTGCCGTTTGTGTTTCCACAACAGATGTAGATGCTGAATATCAAGCGACAAAAGAGCGAACGACACATTTGGAATGCGAGAGCAAGTCACTGGAGATGAGACTTGCTTCACTAAAACAGCAGCTGTCTGCTGGGCGGAAGGAAGTTAGACGGATAGGTCGGCTTGCGCGGCAGACTGAGCAGCAGGCTAATTTATACACGCGCGTTGCACACCGTTTCCACAAGCGGTTATTTGCCTGCACAGAACTCCTGGAAGACAACACAGTGGCGACTTCATCTTCATCCGCTAGTGCCGCAGCATCGGTACGTGTTCTCTTTTATTCACATTGAATTGATGTCCAGTGTACACTGTGCCTTCAGACATGCTGTGGTCTTGTGTGAGCCTTAACATTTCTTAGGTTGATTCATGTTTAGGAAACTTCACTTCTCAGCTCCAAACTCCAAAAACGGTCTCATCGCTGCGATTCAAATCAAAAATTACATTCCACCAAATTTTCGGGCCTGGCCCATCATCTGAATAATGAATTAGAAAAGTGGATTCATGTTGTCCAGCAAAGGCTCTACTGTACGTCAACAAATATTCGGCACATATATATTTTCGGCCTGGGCATTTTTGGCCGAAAAAATGTTTTGCCAGGTTCAGTGTGACAGTGTATACAGGCAGCAAGCAGCATGCAGTACAGGCTGAAATTTTAATGCTGCCAAAATGTGTTTTAGTCCTGGGAGGCCGAAATTTAAAGGTGCCGAAAATTCGTAGACTTCCGTGTACAGTACCTTTCTCTACTGACTTTTCCAGTTTATAGGCTGGTGGAAGTCTGTGGGAAGCAGTAGAGGTTAGAGATGTCTAGAGATGTCTATGAATCCATTGAACTGGAACTATTTTCAACCAAATCGTGCATTGTACATGTGGCAGAAGGATGGACGATACGGATTTTGCTGCAGAATGCATCGATGACCTACCGAAGTTTCGGGATGTATGTTTATACACTTCTATTTACTATCTTCTCCTTTTTCTTCTTTTTCAAGATCTGCTCTACTCTACTCTACCGAGTAGGCCAAAATGAACACATTCTTAGTCTAGTGGTCAAACGAATGTGCTAAACAGCGAATCGAACCTTCTCTGAATGTTCCTAACGAATACCGAACGAATGTCGCCCGTTCCATGATTAAGAAATCAGTAAGAAATTATAGCTACCAACCAGTATGTAACACTAAAACTTTTGTAAAAGGCACCCAAATCATAAGTGAAGTTGCACACTGCAAGTCTGCAACAGAGACTGTAGATGCCATGACTCATTTATGAAGTGGACAGTGATGGTAATGTACCCCTCCGTTCGTCTGCTTGTCCACAGGTCTGTAGTCAGCGCCATGGAGCTGGTCTTTTCAAGGTTCTCCACCTAACCACTGCACCAGCAACTTCAGGCCCGCGACGTGCTTCCGCTGAATTAGCTTTGTCACTTGAGTTGCAGGTAGCCAGGCTCGGGGTAGTTCATGAGCGAAAGGAACCCCCGCACCAGTGACTACGCTCACAGGCCGAAGATCTCTGCACACAAATTCCACCAATCGGTCGTCGTATCCAGAGCCTCAGAGGATCTAGCCGCTGGCACTTTCTTTGCCTTGAAGAAGGCAGTTATCCCTCCATCCTTTTTCGGTATCGCCCCTGCGCCATCCAAGTCGACATGGTGAACGTCCTTCAGATGGTTACGTAAATTCGTTGTTCCGCCATGATCTGCCAAGTCTTTCGGCGGCTTGCACCGAGTACACGTAGCAATATTGTCGTGAGAATATAGATAATGTCAGCCGTTATCTCTATTCCAAAATCCCATACGGCAGAGCACCTACTCTTCTCGGCCATGACGAACGTTGGGTGGATTTGATGAAGAAAGACTCAACGACGGCTCTCAGCAATAGTTATTATTTCAGACAGACCGTCGAGTGTTGTCACGACTAAAATCGCCTGTGGCACTGCACTTCCAGTTTCACAGCCGGGCGCGGTGCACGCATGCAACGTTCAACCCAGACTAGAGTTCACTGCGCAGACTAGACCTACCGTAGTCTCTGGTCATGAAGACAGCGCGGCACGGCTTCAAAAGTAGACGTGTGTACGTGCTTGCATGCTTGAAAATCGCTGCTACAAGTGCAGAGTTCACAGTTTTGTGAGTTACGATATTCGTTTGGGCGGTCAACTTGGCATTCGAATGTCGACTCGAGAACGAACGTTCGAAGCTTCTCAGCATTCGTTTGACCACTAATTCTTACCCTTGTGTGTGTGTTGCTCCTTGTGCGTGTGTTGCTGCTGTTATTCTTCTTGACAACAATATGCAGGCTTCCACAATAGTCCGTACGCCTGTGTATAGCACTGCAGGGGCGCAGTTTCAAACACGTTTGCAGCCTGGAGTGGACGTGCAACACCACTCAACGATAGCGGCATCCACAGCGTCTTTACCGGGCTCGACTTTACATCATCAGCACCCTGCTGCAACTGCTGGAACAGTAATGGCGAGTAGTTCATCTCTAGTGCCGCCACCGCCGAGCGCAGAGGACCCCCTGCATTCCTCCAGCATTGCTACACTCTCTGCAGGCAACGGAGCACCAGCTGTGGCTGCGGAGACTTGGGCACAGCTGCAAGCACAGCAGATGCAGGTGTCACATGAGCATGGACGCGATCTGCTGCAAGCACCGTCAACTGCTATGGTGTCATGACATTTTCACTGATGTGCCTTGGCAGTGCTGCTGCTGCTGCTGTGCAAATCAGGGAGTAGAAAAAAGCGTATTGTACTACTCCCTGGTGTGAATAGTGCTTTGATTGTGTGTTTCCAACGTCAACACTTGCGTTTCGGGGAGCACATCTTGCACCGGATCCGGATTGACTTGCGAAGCTGCTATCATATTTGCATTGTTCTCGTTGTGATCGTCTTGGGTAACTTGTGGCTGAATCTCTCTCTTGTCTCTTCTTGAATATACAGTGTAGTTGAGTTTGGGATGACATGGCTCCAGGTCTTCAAGTGAAGAGTTCTCTCTGACCTGTCATAATAGAAACTAGTAGTCCACGTTTGGCGTTAGTGTCGGAATTTTTTCTATCCCTCTGTACCCCCTCCCCTAGTTTCAGAATTCCCCTTTTGAGAGTCACATGTGTGTACGTAAGAAAAGACATGATCATCGCTGTTCTAGTTAATTTCTGGCATATCAAATAGTCTTATTTTCACAAAGGTGTCGACCACGTTCATAATTCTACTTGCCATACATAGGTGCATTTATTGCCTGCACATGTATGAATTTAGGAACAATTTCCTCCTGCATGAAATACGTGTTCTCTGAGCATACATCTACCCGCACTCCAATACCAACTCTGAACGTATTATACTACTGATAGCTGAACTCTCGTCCCTGTTTTTACCTCTCTCTCCTCACAGCACTAGTGAAATGGCTTATCACATGATCGTTGCACATACTTGTGCTATATTTCCTCTCGTCCGTCCCGTGCTCATCATGGCAACTGTTGTCCCCCGCTCTTCTGTACCGTCTTCACTTAGTCTTCACCGTCTTCTTATTGGTCTTCTTTTCAGTTTTTATGCGCCCCCGTCCGTGCTTTAGTCAGTTTGTATCTAATTGAACCTTTGCTATTGTTCATTCTTATCATCAACTCCATCACATCCTGTCATCGGATGATCTTATATCCCTTCATAACCGCCGTCATTGAGTAAGTCACGTAGTGAAGCAAGTTCGTTCTGGTTGTGATGGCACGTTGTTAGGTTCGCAGTGGTACAGAGAGAGGAGAGAGGAGTGGTGGGCGGGTACAACCAGGGACTGGATACAACCACAACCTGGCTTTTGTGTGAGAATGAACTTCATCCCTGGGGAGATCACCTATCATACGGAACCCTCCTCGTCTTGACCACCAGGCGCCAGAATGATACCAATACTTCAAGTATGAACATCACATCACATTGAAATAGGTCATAGACAGTAACAATCGTCATAATTATGAAGAAGAGGTTGGTGCGACTTCGGCACACACGTCCCCGGCAGTATCATAGTTCACTAATATTCTAGTGCTCGGATCTCCGGACAGCTACCTATATTTCGGCTTAAAAATGTTCTACTTCAAATAAAAGAATTTTAAACGCAACAGCACTACAATTGCACGAAACTAAGAGCAATAACATGGTTTCCTCCACTCTGAACGTGGCTGTGTGTCACTAGCTGAATTCGTGTGTTTTAAAAGTACGAAGTAAGTAGAAGCATGGGTTGGATTGGGTAAGGAGTAAGGGTAAAACTAGCTTTATTGAAAAGAAAATCTCGCAAGGGGAAAGCTAAAAGAAGCACAATAATGAAACAAGCATAGTAGATGGAATGTGTTTCATGGAGATTCCAGTATGTTACATGCAGTTCTGGGATGAATTGAAACTGTACATATCTGTAAGCAGGAGCACAGACAGAGTGGACATAAACCTAGCTCAGACATACAGAAGAGGTGTGATTAATATTCGGATTTTCAAGTCGTAGTATTTTCACCACAAGCGAGCTCAATTGTACTTCTCTTGAGCGCATGACCCTGAATACATCATCGACGTCTGGTCGGATCATACCATTCTTAGGCCAACGTGAATTTCCCCGAGTCAAGGCATCATCTACCCCCCCCCCCCCCCCCCCGAATCGCTTGGCATTACATGTATGTACAATACTGGACCGAAACACATTTGGGCACATATGTAGTCCCTCCATGTTTTGTCCATTCTGTGTTTTAAAAGTAAGTGACGTCCCTGGTATAAAGTGCGTTTGAACTCAATAAATCCTATTCTCCATGTTTTATGCATATTCCACTTCTCTGGTATATCTCTGAGAGTTGAAGTATCGCAAACATGTAACTGATTGGCTACTACGGTATGTCCGCACCTTTAAAGCCATGGCGGTATATTCGATTATAAAGCCAGTCTCAGTTATAAAGCTATGGGCTTCATAAATGAAATGACATTTCATTTCAAGTATGTTTTGTAAAAATGAAGGAATACGTACTATGCTAACAAACTTACAGGCCAGCAGGAAGGGTGAACAATTGGATTTAGATCGACATTTCTGTGTTGACTTTGACTTTTATGGCATGGCGTAGTGGGCGAGTCATTTTGCATCTAAAATATCTAGGAAAGCAGCGGTGTTTCGAATATAAGGCCATGGCTTTAAAGGCGCTGACATACGGTAATAAGCCTTTTGCGCGTTGTACAGATGCACGAAATCCCGTAGAATCCCGTAGAACCTAATGGGTGTTGAATGTGCAGGACCCTATTGTGTTTTCTGCTATTTCCACTAAGAAATGGGCCCTGAAGGCATTTCAAACGAAAACCTTTTCTGACAAAGATCTAGGTAGTCATTAGTTCTAACCAAAGTGAAGAAGCTGGAATAGGGATTGTCTGCCCTTAATTATGAGGCTAAAATTGGTCAATTGCGCATGCATAGCACACAATGAACACCCAATCGGTTCTGTACACACCTACGCCCTAGTACTGAACTTCGTACATCTGTACAACGCGCAAAAGGCTTATAGAAGGTGCAAATGGTGTCCGAAATATCTCGGGAATTGGTAGTACCAAGAGTGTACATAAACCAGAGTGTGCAACTATGCATATCAGATCTGAAACAGCGCAGTTCGAGCACTACGTCACCCTGATGAGGTCAGCCAAGCCGTGACTTGTGTACAGCTCAAATTTTCGTGTTTCATAGCCCGGAAATCAGCCAAGTTTGTTTGATTTTAGACGTCCTGTTTCAGGATTTCGGTGTTGTTGTGTGACTGTGTACGCTGCGTACATCCACCGACAAGTAAATTCACTAGGCTATCCGTATATAAATAAAAAAAATCAGGACAAACTCAGTGACCTGCACCACCGTGACTGGTTACGTAACTTTTCACCGTACCTGTGGCTTACCATGCCGTCAGAAATGACGTACTGCACGAATTACACTACCACAGGAGCCATCCCAAGTTGCACACTCTGGTTTATGTACACTTGGTAGTACCAAGAGTAGATAAACAAGAGTGTGCAACTCCGGATCTCTTCTGCACAATCTGCAGATACCCCCAATTTTTTGTTGACGTCACCTTTTTTAGAAAAACGCGCATCTTGCCGGAGAGCAGTGTGAGAGCACGTGCTGGGCACCGACCTTGCAATGTAAAGCCCCGCCAAGTGCACGAGGCAAAACTTTCCAAAAGACTCGCAGCGCGTGCGTCGTCGAAAAAATTACGCCAACAAAACATTCCGCCGCGGGCCAACCCATCCCGGAGTTGCACACTCTTGTTTATCTACTCTTGCTAGTACTGCAGTGTACACTGTAGTAGTGTACACTGCCTTAGATCTTTGCAGGGTGGTGGCGTTCCTACGGATGCTGAAAACTCAGTCTAACCGAGTCTCAAGCGAACCGTGATTTTTTTAATTGGTAGTACTTCGAGTACGCTGTACACGACTGTAACTTTACTTACAAGTTAGACTACAAGCAGTCAACTGCTGGCTCACCAGCAGTCAGAGATCATCTATACGTGGTCTTGAGAACGCTAACACTGCCGTCTTTGGCAGAGCACTCCAGTTCTAATCCTTTCAATTCATTGCCCCAGCGATAGTGGCTCATGTCGCTCGGCTTGTAGAACTTGCACTGAATGATTGTACGGATCTGTCGCATGACCCAACAGAACAACAGAAGAAAATACAAAAAATAATATAGAGCCAGTTGTAAAAGATTGGGAGAGCTTCAAATTCAGTTGGCATTGAATTCAGAGGCAGGCGTCTAGAAATTTAACCTCCCTCCAACCTGTGCTTATAATATTTTCAAGTCCGTTTGTCCCATCACATTGCCCATTTGTGGATGACATTGGACATGTCTGGTACAAAATCAAACGGGCAAGTTAGACATTATAGGAAAATGACAGGTATGCCTTTATTGGAGACCTTAGCCCTTATTGTCAATGCATGCACGTGTTGTGCACGATCAAGACATCTTCGAAATAGGATCGATAACTGCGCAATCTGTCAATCGACATCGACCGATTTCAAAGATCTCTTGATCTCTTGATCGCGCACAACATGTAGCGTGCCTTTATAAGAGACTCGCTTTAAATAGAGAAAATACAGTACATTACCCAAGAAATATAGCAAGACTTCGGAGGAAGGAGGTTCCTGCCAAATAAAAGTGATTTTTCGGCCATTGCCAAGAGTCTCAGACAGTGAGGTTCAGGTTTGCACAGCCCAATGTCAACGGCATAGGAATTCTAGGGTGCACTGACTACGTTCATACCGCAGAGAGCAACTCCCCACAACTAGTGAGTTATCTCTAATGTGATGATCCAGATACAGTCCAGCAGTGTCTGCGTTGAAAAAAGATACCTCCGGTTTCGTGTCACGCACAAAGTTGTTCGGTTTGTTGGTGATGGCAGTGTTCTCTGTGTGTGGCTAATGGGACGCCAGTGCCCACTGCACAAGAGCTGAGTGCATGTTAGACATGGATACATGTACAGACATATGCTCAATTGCACGTACCACTCTTCCATCTTCTAAATAGACAACAATAGGCAAGTTAGAGCGGTTTCCACTTCCTGTTGGCGGGAAGCTCATCGTGTCCCAGAGATACGAGAAGGTTGCAGATGCTCCATCCGCACTTTCTTTCTCCTTGACTAAATTCAGATCTCCGAAAGTTACCCGCCTTCAAGTAGAGCATACAGATAGACACACAAGAAATCGTTTAAAAGGAAAATGGAGCGGACCGACCCCACATGCCTTCATGCCTAAGACAAAAGGAGCAAGCCTTTTCGCTATACATGTACGTGTACATTTCAAAGCGGCTCTCATCACATCACCTATATGGTGATTCCTGGGAATTGTTCCTGCTAATTTCTTTTTCCCAGGATGGCCAAGTTCAGCTGAAACATTTTTAAAAGGGGAAGTTCACCCCAAAATGAATATTTCACAACTTGTAGTGAAAATGCACTGAGTGTGTTCGATTATGCCCGCGAATCGATTCATGAATCCATTCATGAATTGCCCCTGGCTATTCACATCACCCCATGTGAATAGGGTGAATGGATTCCGAATCGATTCCAGGGCTCATGACATGAAATCGAACGGCGAGATTCCATTCATGAATCGATTCAAGTGCCTAATCGAACGCACTCGCTGACTCCAATGGTGAAGATCCCAGGTTGATCGGAGCAGCCATTCCGGAATTACAGCAGCTTGATTGTACATGTACCACCATAACAATTACAATTCTACAATGGCGAACTGAACTGCACTGCACTGAACTGCACTGCACTGCACTGAACTGCACTGCACTGCACTGCACTGCACTGAACTGCACTGAACTGCACTGCACTGCACTGCACTGCACTGAACTGCACTGCACTGCACTGCACTGAACTGCACTGCACTGAACTGCACTGCACTGCACTGCACTGCACTGCACTGCACTGCACTGCACTGCACTGCAGGAACTGATAGTGAGGGTGTTATAGTTCATATATCCTTCGACATGTTTTCAGTGTTGAGGACTGATCGCTACTGACGTGTGGATGCGGCATCTATGCGATGCGAGCACAAGATGACTGGCTCTGAACAGCAGCTTGGTAAGATCTTTCATCTGCCCCAACCCATGATCACACCACGGAGCATAGTGACAAACAATTGGCATGCCCTGCACCCAGTGTAGTTGGGACTGCACTTGAAAACCTCAAACGGTTTAACCTGACATGCAACAATAGAAATGCCTCTACCGTATTTGTCTACTATTTGATACCCATAGCAAAGAATGACGCCTTTTGTATGTTTACTATGTTACCTTTACCCTGCGAGGCTGTTGCGGAAAAATGTTGCGCTGGCCGATTTATCGTTGTGGCCAATGGGAAGGTTTCTAAGGCACCCCTTTCACCCAAATCACATTCGAACGTATGCAGATTAGGGTTGATGTTATAGGGTTGAAACCCTGCATACATAGGAAAGCGGGCACCCCGTACTGCACCAAAATAGCATTGAGCAGGTGTGGAGCTAGCAGGAGCATCACACCAGGTACGACCAGCACGACCAAGAGCGTGCAACTCAACTATGGGTGCAGTCTCGACAGAATTTCAAGTTGACGTCATCTTTATGATGCAATGCGCACTGTACACGTATTACGACTATTATCGGACGTATCCTGAACCTGTGGTGGACAAAGCCCCAATTGATCCGGTACAAACTACAGTCCATTCATCGGAAACAGTCCCGCTGGCTTTTTGAAGTCCGATTTGGGCCGAATTGAGGATCAAAAACCCACTTTAAATCTCAAAAATCTGGGTTTGAGATCTGCTTCTCCATACATTTTGCCATGGCATACATGTACCTGTCCTAATTTTGTAAAACCTGGCTGAATTTCTATTTCCCTGTTCTTGGACTTTTCTGGCCTCAAATGGGGCAAGGAGTAATTGCATGGGTCACACAATGCAGGATGTACTGTTGTTTTCACGATATCTATAACTATGTGGGAGACGCCAAAAAGTTAGGGTGCCAGTTTCCAATGCAGGGGCGTCGCACACGGTACGGTCACTACGGTATTGACCGTACCACTATTTGCCCCAAGTACCCCGTGATTCAATAAAATGCACTGATTTGGGCTCTAAATTTCCAAAATTTTCGGCTCAGCCACCCTTCCCCCACGAGTAAATTGTACTTGAGATGGCTGACCGTACCACACTAAATTACCTTCCGACGCCCCTGCAATGAATGGACTGTAGTTCAAGGAAACACGTGTGATGCGTTGACACCCCGTAGAAATGTCGTAAATCACTGGTGCAAGGAGCATTGCATCATAAAGATGACACCAACTTGAAATTCTCTTGGGACAACAGGGTACTGTAAAACATGCAATGCATTAAAATTTCGGTGCCAGGGACCTGACAGGTTTCAGGGGAATGTAGAATTAGGCGACCAGCTTTCTCTTCACATACGGTGCATACTCTAGTGTCTTTTAGGTGAAATTTAAATTTAGGTGCCTCTTTTCTCTACCGAAATCAAAGAAATTAGTTACCGTATTATGTCTAATATAAGCACGGTCCTTTATTTTTTCAATGTACCTTCGCCCCGTGCTATTAATGGAGACGTTCCTTTATTGGAGACTGTTCCATTATTATTTCAACCTTATTTCAGAGGCATGTTGCCATGCCAAATTCGTGTCAGACACACACATTTCAGGGGTTTTTCGCCGGTACAGACAATGAATTTACACAGTGTGCTTATAATGGAGACTGAGCACTTTATTTTTGAATGCCGCCCCAAGGTGTTCTACTATTGGAGACGTGCTATTGTTGGAGACTGTGCTTATATTAGAGATAATACGGTGCACCGAAAATAACATGTTTTACAGTATGCGGGAGTTGCACGCTCTTCGGGGGTTATGTACTCTTGGTACGACCATGGTTGTACCACTTTTCGTCCAGAATAGTATGCCGTGCCCAATACATCGAAAAAAGCAATACAGGTGAAATCCTGATAATTCGAACCTCAAAATGCCAGGAAAAAACTTCTAATTATCCGGACATTCTAATTATCCAAACATGGACCCACAACTCAATATGTACCGGTATGCGGTCCTGGAAAAACTTCTAATTAAGCGGTATGTTCGAATTAAGCCATATTCGAATTATCAGGATTCCACCTGTACAAGAGTGCTAACGCGTGCCCTGTTTTAAAATGCATGTTGGCCGAAAAATCCATTTTTACAGGGGGACACCCGCACCCCTAGTCGTGCCATACCCCATTGCCCTGTGACACCCCTGGCTAGTAGTAATGTGTTTTTGCCAAGACCCAGGATGTAAACTACCTACATGTTTGTATCTGCCAATTTCAGCTTGTTGACAGACAACTCTCTCTCCTCTATTCCAAACATTTTCAAATTCTGCGGATTATGATAATTAAATCTTCTTGTAAGTTACTTACTCTGGCGGGGATGGTGGGCGAATGGACACGTCAACCTCATACTTGTGCTGGGACAGCACCTTGACCGTTCGGTTATCTGCTTTGAAACGCTCGCCGTCATTTTTCATGTACAGTGTTGTACCATCATCCTTACTCCTCACTATGAAGTTCACTCGAAACGCACCTCCATCAGTGGACGCCATTATGTAAAGTCGTTTTTCGTGCTTCTAGCTATCACACTCAGCAGTGATCGTGAGTTGAAAGAAGTAGAGAGTAGACTCAAGTGCAGTTCTCTGACTTTGAGTTGACTCACAATCTTTATCTTTTTTATTAAACTAAAGATGGCAAGCCCATGAAGCTTCGAAGGCCGGCTGGTACCCAACCATGCAGGACGAGTTGTTACCAGCAACGATCTCAAATATCTTTGCTTTGCAAGCCAGGAGCGCCTTGTACTGGTGCATGTATGATAAAGAAGTACAAAAGAAGGTGGATCTTTCACTGTTTATTTCGTGTGTGCGACTGCTAACATGTACTGACTGTACCACAGGTGCACCAGATCAGAGAACACGCCATGGGGTACATCACTACAGACACAGTGTAACACTCCTCAGCTATAGCTAGCTCTAGCTCACTCAAGACAAGTAAAGCACAGCACGTGTACCAAGCTGCGACACTCCCACACTACATGCATGTCGACAGCAGCAGAGCTTCAGCTTGGCAACTACAGATTGTCTTTGTCGTTTGGGGGTGTCATTCCTTTTGCAGCAGGCACAAGCGCTAATAATAGGCACTTCAGGCGATTTTTTCAAAACGAGAAATACGCGTATTTCTTTTTTGTATCCGATTCAGATAGGTTTAGGAAGACTCCACAGAAAATTTGAAGCAAAAAGAATAACTAACTTGGCACAGAGATATAGCCACCCAAAGTCGGAGAATTGAATAACGGCATTTTCAGTATTTCGACGGCACCAGCAGCATATCAGAAATTGGCAGAACTTGCTTCAGTGTCTATAGTGGCAAAATACCAGGCTCGCTGGAAGCAGGTCAAAATAACCAGATGAATGCAGAAACAGCATGGTTTGGAGAAACTTCGGATTTTTCATCCGTCCGGCAGCTCCGACGAAGATATCGGGTGTGGTCACCATGGCAACTCCATAGCAACAGCATAGCAACTCCATAGCAACAGCATAGCAACTCCATCGCAACAGCATGAAAACAGTGCAGAGAAGCCTTTGGAAAAGCATAAGATGAGACTTTGAGGTAAGATAAAGTAACTACAATAATTCAGTGCCAGAACACATTGTTGCTACATGTACAGTACTGACGTGGTGACGAGTACGGAAGAACAATGAGCCGAAGACTGAGCAAACTAGAATTTACCAGGTACATGTATTTGACGGAAAGAAATGACAAACTATTACATGTAGAACATCGTCTGCAAATTTTTGGGACTACTGAAACTTCAGCAACTCCAGCATGAGAGATTTTGTGCATAGAGTGTGTGCTGGATTCTTGGTACAATATCACCGTCAATGCTTTTCTTGGTCGCTGGAAGCCACCTGCTGATCAGCTGACGATTTGTTCCGAGCAGGCCGTTTTGATGTCAGCTCTCTTGGTCCAGTCGCCGAAGTATATACTGTCCTACTCGTCGCCTGCAGGAGAGGACGACTGCTCCGATGCGACTCCAATAACACCTGGCAATATTTCTTCTTGCGCAGCCATGCGCATGGGCTCCGACGAACAAGGACTATTGCCGGGAGGACGCCTGTCGCGGTTCGCTTCCAATAACACCTCGCATTATTTCTCCTTGCGCAGCAATGCGCAAAGTGTTGGACGAACGAGGACAACTGATTCCGAAAGGAAATACGACGCTGAAGACGATGAGCTACATGGCAAATGCGTGCAACCAAGTGAAATGCCCGAAAAATCCTTGCCGATTTTACTCGAACTAGCTAACTGTACGTGAGTTCAAAAAATTGCCGCATCATGACGTATGTGGGCTCAAACGAAAGCTGAGGGCCTCAGCTACATGCTGCGCCACACGAGAAGGCCCTGTGCAGCTTCCGTGTAGCTACAGATCGATCTATGCATGCGCCTTTCCTTGGTGCCATGCATGTACCGTTGTACGCGATTCAGCGTTAGCACTTTTTGACAGGTCATGTCACGTGACTGAAGTGCCTACTAGTAGTAATAAGCATGAAGCAAGACCGGTGCAGTGCATGCAAGTTAGTAAGTGCCATCAACTCTTTTATTTCGACATTCATAATTTTTTCTTGCGGCGCCCGTTTCGCGCTACAAGATTTTTTCGATTTTGAAAATAATTAAAAATGCTTCCTTCTTTTTTCGAGATCGTAGATCTACGTACGATACAAAACAATCAGTATTAATTGTGTGCAGTATGCATCATGTACCTGGTAATTTTTACAATAATTATTGTACTGGATTCAGCCTGGCCTGATCGGTTGAGGATCGAGTGATGTCGATTCGATTACTTGTGAATTAGTTGTAGTGCTTGAGGGATAGTGATGATGTCAGCACCACCTACGAAAAGGGCCCGCATTCCTTCAGATTCCGGTGCAGCTATGTCCAACGCAGAGGAGAGTGATGGGATTTTGTCTGACTTCCGCCTATACTCAGCTGAAATGACAGCAAAACAAGATAGACATGAGCGTATAGTCAAGCTGGGTCGTGATTTGACAGTTCTTAGCAAGAGGACAATATTCGCTCTGCAGCGTGTTCTTCTGGACTGTGATGAATCCCGCTCTAAACTTGTTGTTGAGGCACGTGACAAGCTGAATGGAGGTGCTGGAGATCTGTTGTACAAAATAGCCATGGAACTATGCGGTGTTTCTGTTGACTTATACTCACGTGCATACAGCCCTGGTATACAGGAGTACATTGAGGCGAGATGCCTACTGTACTTCATAGAGCACGGTAGTGTAATATCCAGAGCGACTTGTATTGCACTCATACAAGCCAGTATCGACAGCTGCAAGGCAGCAAAGGGGGACAGCAAGTCACCCGATGCGCTGACGGTCCCTGTTTCAGTCTACGACTATGTGTTGGGTGTGGCTGATGTAGGCGGCGAGCTGATGCGATTGGCAACCAATAATGCTAGCAGTGGCAATCGCGATGCCCCCTTTCAAATATGTGCCTTTATCCGAGCACTCTATGAGGAGCTCACCGTACTTGAGGCAGTGTCCCATGGCAAAAGCTTCCACCAGAAATTAAACACCATGCAAGCCACATTGACAAAATTGGAAAGCGCCTGCTACGCGCTGAAGATCCGTGGCACTGAAGTGCCCACGCAAATGCTCAGTGACCTTTTTAAGGGGAGCAGCAGTACGTCTGGGACAAAATCAGATGAGACTCGATCACAGGACTGACTGGAATCGTCTCTACCAGCACTGTTGTATGAAATATTGGCACACCAGGAAGCCTGTCTCCATTTGTGGCTTGTCAGCTCCAGGTACGTCGATCACTGCTTCGATGCTGTTGCCTGTATTGGCACTGCTATACTAGCCACCAGGCAGCATACGTCGTGTGTCTTGTGAGTTACAGCTGTGTGTGTGTGTGTGTGTGTGTGTGTGTGTGTGTGTGTGTGTGCGTGTGTGAGGGTGTGTGAGTTTGTGCTCATTCACCTCACCTCACACCACCGAAAAACTACAGTATTCCACGGCTGTAACTATGCTCTGCTAAGGCATAACGTCCTCCGTGCTGCTTGTAATTGTGTACATGGCTCGACGAACTCTTGTTGGGAGTCAGCTGAGTTTGGCCTGTCCCAGCAGCGTACGCAATGGCTATGCCTAAGACTCAGGCCAGTGCTTGCTCTTGCGCTGTACGTTCTTACAGTTGATTTAAGGTGATGGCTGGCCAAGCTAGTCAGGGTGTCAAAGCCTGCCACGTGCCACCCTCCACTTCTTGCAACCTTATTCCTAGCAGTAGCAGCTACACATACTCCAGTAACAATTGCTCCATCCGGCCAAGTTGGTACTGCCGTGTGAAGCCAAGCCACTTTCTGGCCTGTGTTTATACTGGAAACTTGCGAACTTCGGCGTTGCGTTCTACCCACCTCTGACTCGTTGTGTTGCAGGCCATTTCCTCTACACATTCTAACTGTACATGTGCATGCAGCTGACTTCAGCAACCGTTAACCCGTCTCTCATCGCGGAGCACGTTAGGCCCAGCGCTGCACACAGACATCGCTAACTCTGCTCATGGTTTGCTCGCATCTTGGCTTCCTGCCATGCACATTCCGCTATCTCGTGCTTGAGATTCTACCTGGTCGCCCTGGTAACAGTGATGCCGCATGGCCGAGTGTTGCGCAATGTTTTGTTTTACGTAGGATTTTCATTGCATACCAGTTCCGATTATCTCTGATCATCAGATCGTGTAGTCATACCATACACAGGGCCTGTATCATACCCGCCGTACATCATGTAGTAGTCTCGCTGAGTGACTTAGCGTCTGTACAGCTACGAGTGTGCTGTGGCGGAGCCTCAGTGACTGTGTAGCTGTGGCTGCAGGCCGCTTTGTTCCGACACCTGTAGCTTGGTGTCACTGCACTCAACATGGCGTATAAGGTCACCTATCGTTACTCGGTATACGCATACTCACGACAGCTCATAAACAGTTTTATCTTGTCCAGTGGTGTGAATTCATTGGCCTGGCTCCTGCTGTTGATTTGAACTTCTTTTTAAAGTACATGTAGTTGCCTTTGTTTGAATGTACGGAAGTACGTCCATGTACCACGAGTTTCACGAGCATACTGACACCTGGCGTCCTCTCCTGTGATATCATGATCATTCTGTGTATTTGTGCACATTGAGCACGGAAGGCTGCTGGGCCTCTGCATGCATGCAGCGCACATTGAGCACGGAAGGCTGTTGGGCCTCTCAGTCTGCATGCAGCGCACATTGTGATTTTCGTTGGCAACGAACAGAATCATTACTCATTAGTGTGGCTACTGTGCAGACGAGCGTCTGACTCAGACAGTCGCCTAGACTCAGTCAGTCGCCTAGACTCCCGACTTTGTACTACAGACATGAACTGGAGCTGTCCTGATATGACCTAAACGCCTGTACTGCTCTAGTACAGACAGTACCGGTATACCACCAGGCTGTAGACTGTAGTGTAGGACCATGACCCATATTGCCTTATTGGCCATAATCCCCACACATTGTGATAAGACAGGGTTATTTACTTATTTTCTCAGCCGGTATCGGGTGCAGTCAGCTTCGCGTTCTACGACACATCATTATGTACATGTATTACAGTTAGATGGGACCTTCAAGTTAGTTTGCTCTGGGCATGGAAATACTGTCGTTATTCGCGAATTGTCGTTCTATCCGCAGTCGTTATTACTATATTAGCGAAGTAAGTTAGTCGACTGTATACTTTTTCTGGGCATATGCCAGGCCCTATGCCAGGCATAGGGCCATATGCCCAGAAAAAGTATAATTTTTTCTTCAGACTTTTCCCGTTTGTCTCTTTCCCTTATTATTATAGGCTATGGCAGTATGTATATGGGCCACAAACCCTCAAGTAACAATAGTCAATAGTTCAACACTCGATCTGTGCATGCTATCCCCGGCGCGGTATGCGGGTTAGGTGGGTGGCGCATTGCCCGACCACCGGATAGGCGCTGTTCAAGCAGCTACGCGGACTACAGTCTACACAACTAATACTTCACAAGGGCAGATCTACCGGGTACGAGTTTGTTTGTACAGTACTACAGAGTCTGTCATTGCACTCAACAGTCAAGTGCCTCACTGCATACCATGCAGCGGGCATGCTGCTTGTTCGCACAGTGATGGCAGTGGCACTTGCTGGGTCGGCATTTCGAGCTCAAGAAAGTTGTTTTCGTTGTTTTTTCTGCTGGCTTGCTGGACGGTGCACGTAGCGTGCTGAAGTATTGCCGTGCAGGCCGCTAGCAGCAACAGTGGCGAGGCAGAGGAAGAGGAAGAGCAGCAGAAGTCATGACCGACTCCAAGTATTTCACTACCACCAAGAAGGGTGAGATAGCCGAGCTCAAAGCAGATCTGGCCGGCGACAAGAAGGAGAAAAAGAGAGATGCCGTGAAGAAAATCATCGCCAACATGACAGTGGGAAAGGACGTGAGCACGCTATTTCCCGATGTGGTGAATTGTATGCAGACGAGTGATGTGGAATTGAAGAAACTGGTCTACCTGTACCTGATGAACTACGCCAAGTCCCATCCGGATATGGCCATTATGGCTGTGAACACCTTCGCACGAGATTGCGAGGATCACAACCCTCTGGTTCGTGCCCTGGCAGTACGCACCATGGGATGTATTCGTGTGGACAAAATCACGGAATATCTATGCGATCCTCTCCGCAAGTGCCTCAAAGATGACGATCCGTACGTGCGTAAAACAGCAGCTGTGTGTGTGGTGAAAATGCACGATATCAACGCCAGCCTTGTGGAAGACCAGGGCTTCCTGGATCTGCTCAAGGATTTGGTGTCTGACGCCAATCCAATGGTGGTGGCCAATGCTGTTGCATCTCTGACGGAAATCTGCGACAACAGCCCATCAGCACGCAGCCAGTTTGAGCTGAACCCAGCGTTGGTGAACAAGCTGCTGACATCGCTCAACGAATGCGCAGAGTGGGGCCAAGTGTTCATTCTGGATAGTCTTGCACTGTACGTGCCCAAAGAGGAACGCGAGGCCAAGAGCATCTGCGAGCGAGTGACGCCGCGTCTCAACCACTCCAACTCCGCAGTTGTACTCTCAGCAGTGCGCGTTATCATGCGCCTGATGGAACTCCTCGAGCAAAATGCTGACTATCACAAGTCATTGCTAGCTAAGCTGGCCCCGCCGCTTGTGACTTTACTGTCTAGCGAGCCAGAGATCCAGTATGTTGCACTACGCAACATTTCACTCATCGTTCAGAAGCGCCCCGATATCTTGACGTCCGAGATCAAGGTCTTCTTCGTCAAATACAATGACCCGATCTATGTGAAGCTGGAGAAGCTGGATATCATGATTCGCCTGTGTAACAAGGGCAACATTCAGTCGGTCTTGCCTGAACTGAAGGAGTATGCTGCTGAGGTTGATGTGGACTTTGTGCGCAAGTCCGTCCGTGCCATTGGCCGCTGTGCAATCAAAGTGGAATCTGAAGCTGAGCGTGCTGTTCAGACTCTGCTCGATCTCATCCAGACCAAGGTCAACTACGTGGTGCAGGAAGCTGTCGTCGTCATCAAGGACATCTTCCGCAAGTATCCCAACAAGTATGAGAGCATCATCTCTACGCTCTGCGAGAACCTCCACTCGCTTGATGAGCCGGATGCGCGTGCTTCTATGATCTGGATCTTGGGAGAGTATGCTGAGCGCATCGACAATGCCAGTGAGCTACTGGAGTCGTTTGTGGAGCACTTTGCTGACGAGCCAACACATGTCCAGCTGCAGCTGCTGACCGCCGTCGTGAAGCTGTTCCTGAAGCAACCCAACGACACGCAAACACTAGTGCAAAGTGTACTTAGTCTGGCTACACAGGAAAGCGACAACCCAGACTTGCGCGATCGCGGATATATCTACTGGCGACTGCTGTCCACCGACCCAGGTGCTGCCAAGACGGTTGTCCTCGCTGATAAGCCACATATCTCTGAAGAGACGGATCTTCTAGAACCTGCGTTGCTCGAGGAGCTCATTTGTCACATAGCCAGCTTGTCCTCGGTCTATCACAAGCCGCCGGCCACGTTTACTGAGCGCAAGACTCCCCATCGGTCCGTCACGCTGCCGCAAAAAGCAGAGCCAACTCCAGGAAGCTCCACGGCCGAGCCAGCAGCACCAGCAGCGGCAGCGCCAGCAGCAGCTCCAGCCGCGGCAGGCATTCCTGCTGCCACCGTCATCCCTACGCCGTCCATCCCAGGACAGGATAATCTCATTGGCGACCTGCTCTCACTGGATTCAAGACCGCCGCCAGCCCAACAGGCCGGGTCAGGCGACATTCTCTCCGAGTTAAGTGCTCTAGGTCTTGCCGATCCGTCTCTTTCTGTAGCTCCTCAGGCACCGGGAACTGCTGGCGGCGGCGCTGGTTTCCCAGTGGCAAACGGCACGGGAGCGGGCGCAGGTGACCTCTTCAGTTTGCAATCGGTTGGTATGTTTCAGAGCGGTACGTCGTACACTGCGCCAAAGTCCGTATGGCTTGAGGCTGCTCAAGGAAAGGGTTGCATGGTGGAAGGCACGTTCTCTCGCCGCCAGAGTCAGATCTACGCCGACTTAACTATCAACAACCGTGCTATGCAGGCCATGACAGCATTTGCCGTCCAGTTCAACAAGAACAGCTTTGGCCTCACCCCTGGTACACCGTTGCAAATTCCACATCCGATCGCTGCGAACCAGTCGATCCAGACATCGCTGGCCATCAACACCAACGGCCCTGTACAGCGCGTGGATCCTCTTACTCTTCTGCAGGTAGCCATGAAAAACAACATCGACGTCTTCTACTTTTCCTGTCAGGTTCCGTACTGGGTCCTGTGGGACGAGAATGGGCAAATGGAGAGGAAAGTGTTCTTGGCAACGTGGAAAGATATCCCGAACACCAACGAAGTACAGTCGATGCTGTCCGATATCAGCCTGACGCCAGATGCAGCGGAGGGCAAGCTGAAGAACAACAACGTCTTCACCATCGCCCGCCGTACAGTCGAAATACAAGAGCTCCTCTACGTGTCTCTCAAGTTCACCAATGGCATCTGGGTACTCGGTGAGCTGAAGTTCACACCAGGCGGTACAAGTGTTGCACTGGCCCTGAAGACGCGTGCCACTGATGTAGTAGCCGGCGTCCAGCAATCCCTTGACACCATCCTACGTAACGCGTAAGCAACGGCAGATTGACAGAAACTTGCGAAGCCTCGTGCGCAATTCGTGCTGGCATTGTTTCCCTCTCTGCTGAAGTATTTTTTGTTCAGTAGCCAATATTCAATTTGTTCAATAGGAAATTCTCAATTTGAGAGGCTAGGTGGAGTAGATGAAATGTATGCATTATGGATGTGGCATGGTTTGCTATTACATGTACATCCGTACTTGCGCTGCTGCCGTATTGTGTGCTGTAGTGTTGGAGACACCACTGACACGGGTTGATCTATTTTATCGCAGGCATCCTTTTCTTTTGCTGCTGCTCTCTTGTGACGTCGTCAGATTGGCTGCTCACTATGCGTTCCTTTGCCTGTCCAGGCACTGCCGCATGGTGGCTGCATTTTTAGGATATATAATTATATGTGTAGTATTGTGTACACATCATCACTTCTCATTGTTTGTTTTTCTGTTCTTTTTTTAGTGGCGGGGAAATTCCCCTGGCCGTGCATTGTTGTTTTCTACTTTGACGTTGGTTGCATTGGAGATGTCACCCTAGTTTGATCTACACTGCTACCAGGTATGTGTACAGCACTGCAATCTGATGTTTCTCGCAGTAAAGCGATTATCTTGTTTTCTTCTTCAGAATAGAATGGCGTCATCGTGTTTGCAAATTCTTCGAATAATATAAGAATTATAGAGCTTGATGTCTGTGACCCTGTGGACTGCTGTCGTGATGCGAAGAAGGCCGTATGATTATGTGGCAAAATGCCCTCAGTGGCCATGCGTACCCCGGCACAGTTTTGCCTGTTTATATATATATAGACAATTATTATACCACGTGCGCCCTCCAAATACCACAATCATTGTAGCACAGTTGCTGGTACTTAGAAATGCAAATGCTGCTGCATGTATGCACAGTGGTACGTAACGTTAAATTGTAAGCCTGGCCTGTGTTGACAGTATTTATTATAAAAATTTTGATAGGGCAATCCCCACAGTACAGGCCTAAGGCTAAGGCCTTTTGCAGGCGCGTGCTCGGCGATGGGCACGGGGGGCACGTGCACCCCCCAAAAATTTTCAATCTGGGTAATTGCAATTGTAATGTATGCAAATATGCTCTAAAATTCAAGAAAGGTTGCAAACAAATTGCAGAAAATTGCCGGGGGGGGGCTCCCCTCGGCTCCCGTGCACCCCCCTAGTTGGGGGGCCGAGCACGCCCCTGTTTTGACAGGGTACCCTAAAAAATGAAGAACAGAATTACGGGTATTTCTTGTCGGTTAGTCCATCCATAGTCCAGTATTATTGTTATGATGCAAACACGTGACGGTCATGCTGGTGGTAGGACCATCGATCTACTTGAAGCATGAAGGCTAAGCTACACAAGCTACTGTAGTCACTAGTGCTCGGACACTGTGCTGATGATGCCGAGAAAGAGACGCACATGTGACAGGCATCACGTGGCAAAGACTAAGTAGTTCCTTGCACTTGGTGGGAAAACAGGGAAAAGACGAAGACTAGTTAGCCGTTTAGTAAGTTTGTTAGTTTGTGAGGTCTGGACAGGAGTCTGCTCCTCCATCAGTTTTCTTTGCGGCAGCTGGTCGAGGCTTTTTACTGTCTTGAAGTGTTGTTGCTCCCTTCTCAGTTTTCTTGACAGCCGTATAGCAATGGCTGCATTTGCAGTACTTGTCGGGGCCAGTGCAGTATTTCTGCTGGCGTCCGTGCTGGTTGTGAACGGTCAATTCAACCCGAAACTGGAGACTTATCGTGTGGTGACTGAATACGCCTCTACTGCCAGCGGATCTTCGTGCACGGAGTTTGAGAAACTCTTTGCCACAGGTGCGAAGGTCTTATCGCCCGTGGGCACAACAGCTCAAACTCCCGCAGCATTCTGTGCAAAGGTATGAGTGACTATGACTGTCTGTGTTGATTATTTAGGCGAGGTCGACTGCGTAGTGACCATGGTGACATGTCGAAAGCGGCAGGCCTGTGACCAGGTGACCTGTCCACATAATGTTTTCGATTTTGTTTTTGAATTTTTTTGGTTGAATTTTCGCACTTTTAAATTTTTCGAATTTTGGTACAGCCAGAATTGAATTTTGGCTATTTTCATAGGCTACATGAGGCGTTTCAACCCGGGTTGAGTTCGACCCGGGTTGAGTTCAAACCGGGTCAAAGTTCAACCCACCATGAACATACAGTCCTGCTCGATGAAACCCAGTCGCGTCACTCAAGTTTTCGCCTTGCACCTTTTCGCAGCCCAGTGTTCGCAGGTCTAGGGCTGTGCAACGCCTGGCGCGGCGTGTACTTGAGGGACACGACTGGATTTCGTTGAGCAGCACTACACATGCACATTGACTGGAGCGTTTATATGACGCATTGCGCTTGCCCCGGGTTGACCAAGGGGAGGGTTGAAATCGACGAATCGTACTACCGTACTACTGACAGTACTGTGCGTATTTCGCACCAGTTTGCACTGCACAGGCAAGTTTGCACTGCACAGGCAAGTTTCGCATGAAAGCAGTCACGTGACAATACTGGACTCTAGAAGTGGACTTTTGGCGGCAAACCAGTATTTGAACCAGGTCAACTGTCTTCATGTAGACACCCACCTATTTTTTCCATCATAATTATAGACTTTCAACCCGGGTTGAACTCGTCCCGGGTTGAAAGTTCTCATGTCAACACAGCCTTAGCCTAATGAATCATAGTAATGACGGCTGTTTATGCGGGGGGGGGGGGGGGGGGAGGAGTAGCACAATACGCGTAGCCGCACCACTAGTACAGTACCTACCACCAAGAGTACATAACCCCCCAGAGTGTGCAACGCCTGATCCAGCTCTGCATAGGGTCTTGGTCGAGCGGAATCGGATCTTTGCGTCATAATACCGTACACATCTGAGGGGAACCCGGGGAGTCGCGGGTACTCTTGGATCAAAAACAATGGTGCCCTGCCTCGAGACCGGCCTTGCGCTGGTGTGAAGTGTACGCATGACATCAGAAGATCCGATTCCGCTCGACCAAGACCCTACACAGAGCTGGATCGGCGTTGCACACTCTGGGGGGGGGGGGTTATGTACTCTTGCTACCACTATAGCACCTATTATGACTACTGTAGAATCCCGCGGATAAGCCCCGGGGCTTATCTGTTTCACAAGGACATTTCGGTGGGCTTATACGCGGACACGGGCATACGCCGACACCAACATTGTGCTATTGAAAAGTACCAAGGAAGTGAGAAGTACATTGCTGGAAATCACTGTGCAAACAAAAACAATCGATGATTGTGTTGAAATGTACAACAAAAATTTTAACCGTACATGTACTACGTACATGTACGGTTAAGACCTAGGCCCATGGGCTTGTACAACGAAGCTTCACGATGTTCGAACGCGGGTGGGCTTATCCGCGGGATTGTATGGTATGTTTCTGAAATAGCATTAGTAATATCACTACAGTGTCCATGAACCATAGATCCACATAATCTTGACATAATTGTTCCAGTGGAAGAAACCACGATGCAAATTTGTTGCCCTTTTTGTACAGCAGTCCGCAGTGTTACCAGTGTCCCCATCAATGTGTGTGTGTGGGGGGGGGGGGGGGTTCTTTACAAATAACCCCACACCATTTGATGGTACAAAGCAGCAAGGCAGCACTGGGACATATGGAATGGCAGGAGTAGGGAGAGGCAGGGACAGCTTTGTTCACCATACAGGGATGAATTTACTGTCATGTTTTTGCATAGCGGTTTTTTGCTATGCAAAATCTCAATTGCGTAGGAGTCTTTGATATTTTGATTAGCACTTTTCTTCGAAAGTTGGGTAGTTGCCACATCGTTCTTGTTGTGAGTGATTCCTGAAAAGGTCCTTGAAGTACTTGTATCCACAAAAACAACGACTGAAAATGCTAAGACCACGGAGGGACATCTCGCGTTCCTCGCACACCAGTCAACTGCACTGTGTGCATGTTACTTGACAGCGTAAGCTAGGCATGGATAGCCTGTATGTATCGCAGTTTTCTGCAAGTCACTGTGATTTTTGAGTAGCAGTAAATCGATGTTGCATAGCAAACTGCGATGCGATACCGGATAAATTCATCCCTGCCATAATTATGGTCTCGGCTTCTTTGTGACCAAAAACTACAGAGAATGTGCAGGGGTGATTACGGGGCAAAGTGTACATGTGTGTGTGTGTGTGTGTGTGTGTGTGTGTGTGTGTGTGTGTGTGTGTGTGTGTGTGTGTGTGTGTGTGTGTGTGTGTGTGTGTGCATGTGTGCATGTGTGTGTGTCTGTGCATGTGTGTGTGTATCTGTACATGTGTGTGTGTGTGTCTGTGCATGTGTGTGTGTCTGTCTCTGTGCGTGTGCATGTCTGTGTGCACTGCCTGTGCGTGTGCATTGTGCTCCCTCATGTTGTGCACACAGCCCTGCTTTGGGTACAACTCTCTGGCGGTCACTTTGCATTGCTTGCCAGAGTAGCGTGCTAGTATTGAACATTGTGGTGGGATGTGAAACTCTCATGTCGGAGCACTGGATAGAGAATGTCAAGGCAGGCACACACTATTGGGGTTCTGCACTCTTGCCTATAGGCTACCGTTGAATCCCGCGGATAAGCCCACCCGCGTATAAGCCCATGCCCGCGCATAAGCCCAGAGTTTGTTCGAACATCACAAAGCTTCATCGTACAAGCCCATGGGCCTAGGTCATACCGAGAGTCCATAAATTATGACTCTTGGCCATACCATGTACATAGTACATGCACATTATAGTTTTTTCGTACATTTCAGCACAATCATAGATTGTTTTTGTTTGCACAGTGGTTTTCAGCAATGTACTTCTCACTTCCTTGATACTTTTCAATAGCACAACTTGGTGTCGGCGTATAAGCCCATGTTCTCATATAACTGATATAAGCCCATCGAAATGTCCTTGTGAAACAGATAAGCCCATGGGCTTATCCGCGGGATTCTAGGGTATGCGATTACATCATCAGTTGAGATGCTTTGGCAAAGTCACGGTACAGCGCTGCACTAGCGACTCACTCTGTATACAAAGCGCCTGTAAGCGGTTCTGGAAGTCTGCTGACTCAACATTACAACTTCTTTCGCGTAATCTCCATACAAATGCACCAGTCTGGTGGCCAAGTGCATTGTTTCATGTGCCATCATGGAGTCGTACGACTCTGTGTGTGCTATACCGGTGTATGTATGTTTCGCGCTTTCTAAATCAATTTTCACTGCCGTCATTCCTGGGTATCTGTGTACATGTGTTGTGTGTCTGTTCCAACAGAACAAGGAGATGTTTGCAGGCATGGGTGCTTATCCACGCGACCTGTGGCTTGGCAATGTGACCGGCGTCATGCACGTGGCTTTCTCGCTGCACGTTCGCGCCGTCAGCAAGGTGGGCTGCTTTGTCGACTGGCCGTCGATCCTTGTATTGGAGTTTGAGAAGGACGGCGAGAAGGTTTTGTCCTGGAACCATTACTATGATGATGGGTAAGATCCGGGACATTCACGTTATTTCCACATTATTTTACCGACCGTTGCATTAAATTTTGGGGGCTGAATGCTGCATGAGACAAAACTCCACTCAGAGCGACCTGTGCAGCCTACGAATGAAGGGGCATGCACTCGGATAACATGGCCTTCTGCACCCACATGTGTAGCTCTTATGGATCCTCTAATCCGGGTAACGAACGAGTTCTTATCTTGTGCTTGTGTGAAAAGTATGAAAGGTCTCTAGTAGTTCTCTATACAGTACATTGACTATCAGTCTGAAAGTCTGAAAGTCAGGGTAATTGTACGTGAACTCTTTTGACTTATACGTGACTATTAGTTTGAGGGGGTGAAAATGGAAAAAGTCTGAAGAAATATTGACTGTCACCACCAGGACCATAATTTATATTGAACTGTAACGTAAGTTAGGGATGGGAATTACTGACTCGGCGGTGTAGGTGGACGCTGCTGGAGTCCACGTGATGATTCCTATTTTGCATCTATTTTGTTCGCTCAGCTGGATCGACGCTGCCATTCGCTGTCGGTCGAACCGTACAGCAGCTCCGGAGGAGGCGAAAGAATCCGTTTCCAAGCCACTGGCATTCAATATAAAATCGATGTTCTACTCCAACGTTGTCACGTGGACCACAGGGGCATGCAGTGATTGGGCAAGTCAGTTTAGTGCCAGCGGCAGTGTGGAGTCGCCTGTTGGACATGCTCCAGTTACGGGACAGCTGGGCATCATCGATTTCTGCACCTTCTTCAAGAAAACCTATCCCTCTTTCGGAGCTTGTGAGTAACAGATAGATACATAACTTTGTTGTTTGTGCTTATCGCATGACTGCATTTGTGGAGGCCAGTTGTGCATGATTGTACCCTATGCTCAATATCAGTACATGCTCTGCCAAGAGTAATGTTACATCACCCCCTAGAGTGTGCAACTCCAGCTATGGTATCTGTGGCAGCAGAACTTCACATTACATGACACACCCGTACACATTATGATTCAAGCAGATCTCCTGCTGCACAACTGCAGCTCAGTTGTACGCACTATGCCACTTCCAGCCGCTGATCTGCATTTTAAAACTATGATGTAAGGCGAGACCAAAAAAATAGAGATTCCCGGGCCCTCCCGCACCAAAATCGAGCCAAAGCTAATTTTTTTGGAACAGTTCATGTACATGTACAGTACTGATCATGTGAGTAGATTTGTGACGTGGAGTCACACAAACCCTGGCTTGTACGACTCCCTGAGGCCACACTGAAGAAGGTCTGTGGTTCGACTCACCCGACCGACCGTACAATTTCAGCCCGACCGTAACTTTTTTTCGGCGGGCTGTCGTGTGACTGACGTACGTGGACTGAACACGTCCACGTCTACGTGCTGTGCAGCGTGAGTCTGCGGACGCAGGCGGATTCTTTTGGACTTGACTTGTACTTGTAGTTGTACTGCAGTGCAGTGCAGTGAGTGGTACGACTGCTGCCTTGTGCTGGTAGTAGAGTCTACTCGATACGACCACCGGCAGACTGGCGAGACTTATTTTGAAGTGACCGTCCGGTTGAGAGTGATTGCCTCGTTCCAGATCAAGGACGGCCTTCTGTTTTGGGATGAAGGACAGGCGAGATTGCACTTTCCTCGTGTATTGGGAACGATATTTCACCTGTACCGGTAAGTTGCTGCTCCATGTGTGCAAGCACAGGAAGCGTCGATGGAAAAAGCCCATGTATTCGTGCACGCCGACACCAAACTAGCACTACATGTACCGGTACATTGTACAATTTGTACTTCGAAGTAGTTTCCGAACTTACTTTCAACTCGCATCGTTCTTCATTTGCTTGATGATTTGGACAGTCAGAGTCACCGCTTGAAGTTATTCTCTTCTCGTTCCAGAGCTACACAATGTTTCAAAGTATTGGCCAGTGATCCCTTTATACAACATGTATGGCATAACACTGCGTAATAATACCGATGTACTGGGTGTCTAAAGGCAGTACAGTGTATTTACATGTACTAAAAAATATATTAAAAAAAAAAAATCCGCCCGCCCGCCCGCCCGTAAAAAAAATGTCCATGTTAGTCGAACCACACACCTTCTTTAGTTTGGCCTGATGTACAGATCAGGGCCATTTTTGGCCGAAATACAGAAAAAATGAATGGGTAAACCGCGGACCTGTTTTCTGTAAAAAAAAAGTTAATAAAAATCACCGGAAAATACTGTAAAAAAAGTTCATCATGGCATGCTACATACATTGGAAAAAAGAGAAAAAAATTCGCCCACCCGCACCAATTTCACATGGGTACTGCCCGGGAATCTCGATTTTATTTTGGTCTCGCCTAATCTAGGAATTTTGCCGCGAGATAGGCATCCATACAGAACAAATCAGAAGCTGCGAACTCTTGGTTCCATGCACTCTGTTTGTGCTGAGATCACCATCATCAGTACACCATGGTACACAGCGGTAGTGTGAGGAAAATCATTATGATCATGATCACAAACACGCTCTACTTCAGTGCACCGCTTGCATGTGCATTATTGTGCATACATGTATGCATTCGAGTATGACCGGACATGTAGCCGTGACCCTGGTCAGTTGACATGCCTAACCCAGTGCAGCCCCCGGTGCTTGACCGTGTGCAAGAGGAGGCTGCGTGCTGCATGCATCCAGGAGATTTTAGTGGCCGACGACTTCTCAAATGACCAAGTGGAATGATTGCATGGCAAGACGTCGTGTGTTCATTGAGTGACTTAGGATGTGGATATCAGCTATCTGCTAATTTAAATTGTTTTTGCCTCGCATGTCTTATTCCTACACAGATCCACAAGATCTCTTCATTGCAGATAATGGCACTAGTCTTGCCACCTTCTTCCATATTCGTGCACTTTCTGAGAAGAAATGCCACACTGAATGGCCGTCGATCCTGGTGGTGTCGTTCGACTCAGCTGGCCAGTTGACTCGCTGGCAACACTATTATGATGACGGGTGGAACGATGCCCAGCTGAAATGCTGATGTACATGTGCATGCATCATTGGAGACGGATGCGTTCCAGAGATCTGCCCTGTCAGGTGTGTGTGTGTGTGTGCACCCTAGTTTTGATCTTGTGCTTGTATACACGTTGTTATTGGATGGTCTATCTTCTATTAGTGCAACGAGACATCTGCCCTATCAGATGCGTTTTTGTTTGTGTGTGTGCACGTGCATGTGTTTGTAGTGTAGTTTTAGTACTACATTCGCATTCAAGTTGTGATGGCTTATCTTTTACTAGATGAAATGAGTGTGTGAACGGCTCTGCGGCGTAATCAATGTGCACTCAATGCTCGGTGATTGCAGCGACCGTGCCTACCTTTGTTTAGCTTCAATATTACTTTTTCTTGTACATGTACTGTGTAATACTATTTATGATCTCGACGCCACCGATCTCAACCTGGACGGAGACTGAGATGAAGCAGTTCTCAAATTTGTGGTCCTCACCCTATTGAAAGTACGATACACACTGCAGATACACAAGCATTTCTGCCTTCTCATCACTAGGCTAACCATACGGCTTGACAGTCTCAATAAAAGATTCAGCTCCACTAAAGTGTATAAGTATAATTAGTTACCAGTCCATGTCACAGCAGGTACTCATGTAGGTGTGCCTCTCCACTCACAGTCTGTGTATCACAAATCCGCAATAGAGTGAAATTTAACTCAGAGTCAGAATCATTGCTTACTGCCTCCATTGGTTTTCCACTGCAACCAATTACAGGGCCGGCGGAGCCGCTCCGGTCGGTCCGGCCATGGCCGGACCAACTTTTCGGCCACCGACGATTTTTTTTACGACGCAGTAACGTTATTGACTGTTGTGATCATCGATTGCATGTACGCGTACTTGCGATCTCGCTCTGATCTTACCGTGCACGCTTGAGGGCTAGCTGTGGCCATGTGGCCTAGCGCCTGTGTGTGGGCGGCGCCTAGGCGCCTGTAGCTGTGGCGCGACCTGAAAGCACGTGCCATGATAATGATGGATACTACATTGTAATTAATTTTGTAGTCTTGAGGGGTTTTCGTCGAGTGCTTCAGATTCTTTTACTGAACGAAGTAGTTTTTCAAAAATTTTCTCGCTGTTTGGTCAGCTTAGCTGCAGTGCATGCTTAGCAGCTATGGCTTCTTCCAGCGAAATATCTGTGCCAGAAGTGCCAGTCCACCCAACCACTTCCTTCGCTTTTCCTCGGCGGGAATTTGGGAAAAAGACAGTGGTGAAGCGCTCTTGTCAGGCGTCATAATTATTTCAAGACATGGTCTTGGTTGACCTACGATCAAAGCAAAGAGACGTTGTGTTGTGTCACACATGTGCAAGTGCTGTGTTGGCAAAAAAACTTGGCCGGACCAACCAACAATTGCTTCCGCCGGGCCTGAATTATGATGGCCTCACTGTTGCAAGGCCCCTCCAAAAGTGAGGCTGCTACATAGTCATACATGTTGTTAGTTTGACAGCATTGTTGTTGTTGTTGTTGATTTTTATTTTGCTTCGCAAGGCCAAACGGGCAATGGTGCCCAATTCTATGGAAGCGAATTTCAAAAGGGAGAGAGCTACGGGGAGAGAGAGAGAGAGAAAGAAAGAGAGAGAGAGAGAGAGAGGGGGGGGGAGGGAAGGAGGGAGATGATAAGCAATTTTGTAGCGTCAACAGAGCGATTTTGCAGTGTCAATAGAGCGATTTTGAAGCATCAACAGAGGGAACACAAAGAGTTCATAACTTGAGCGCACAAGCACGCAGAGAAGAGTAAATGACGTGGTGTGTGGACGGGAAAAGTCAGACAGAGCATTCATTGCAAGGTGTAGGGGATGGAGGCAAGCTTAAATTGCTGGGCAGCCTTGATCTCCCTTACACTCCTTGGGAGAGCGTTCCAGGCCAAGGCTGCCTGAAAGGCCAGGCGAGATCTGCCGGCTTCTGACTGTGCCGAGGGGACAGTGAGGCCCCTGGAAACCTGGTGCCGGGTGGTGCTGCCAGCTGATGGTGAGAATAGGTCCTGGAGGACACTGCTGGCTTTCCCATTGACACAGCGCCACACCAGGACGAGCCGCGGGCCGCTTCTGGGCGTAGCACTCCCGAACTCTGTACAGGGACATCCGTTCGAGCAGAGGCTGAGCAGCATGAAACAAGGTGGAGGACACTGTGTTTGGAAACAGTGACCTTACTACAGTACAACCATCCACGGTTGGTAGAGGCCCCCCCCCCGTCCGTTGGGACCATCAGTTAATTTCATGATTCTGAACCATAATGGGTGTTGAACCCGGTTCTGTACATGTATGTGTGAACTATAACAAGGTGTATCTAATACTAGTATTGTATTCTCAAGTATTGTATTCTTGAGTATTCTCAAGTATTGTTCTAGATTGAGTTATTATAAATACCATAATCATACATGTGGTACTAGTAGTAGTGCCAGAAGCCAGCCTTGCTCAAGAGTGCATGGCGGCCACAGGCCCATAATGCATGTATTTATAAACAATGAGAGCAGTGAAGCATGCCAGCATATGGCACAAGTGTCACCAGTGGCTAGACGTACAGAGAAAAGGGGGAAGTGCATGTTGCTTGTGAACAGTTCTGCCCAGGAAATCAGGAAGCAGAACTCTGTCAAAGCCGGTACTACACGTGTAGATGAGTTACTAGTACGCCGCTTGTAGCCCCATCACGGGAATCATGGATGGGGGGGGGGGGGGGGGGAGGAAATAATGGGTCACTCAAGCCCGCATTACACGGATGTCCCCCCCCCCCCTCTCAGGGAATTCATTGTCTGGTGACCATAGTGACGGGTTGTTACCAGGTGGTGATCTATGATCTACGCAGTGACCACACTGGCTCCTGTGTATGAGTTTCAGCCTGCGATTCAGGAGAATGCCCGGGGGAGGGGGGTAGATCTACCGTCGTCATGGTCATGAGCCGGGGGTATTGGTGGTGGTGGTGGTGGTGGGGGGGGGGGGGGGGGGGGGGGTGCTGCGGTGGCCCTCCTTACATTGTAGTCCTACCAAGAGTAGCTTATGCACTTTTTAGTCTTGGTCCTACATGTACTGTTAGTACATGACTGATTGTGCATTTAGATCTACCTCCTTTTATTTTGGCTTAGAGAAGGCTTAGTAACCTGAAGGACTGACAGACTCTGCCATGTCAGCGATAACTGCTCCTCATTGATTGGTCCCACTCAGGGAGTCGTAAAATACGACTCCCTGGTCCCACTCGATGGCGTTGGAACTAATTACAAAAAAAGCGGCCAATAAGGAAGGCAATTATTGTATGATTCAAATCAGTCTACAATGAAGTTGAAGACACCACTGCAGCTGTACTCATGGTTGATAAATGTGGTGGTAAAGACACACCTGGCAATAAGGCGGTAAACACACGCCTGCCCAAACACGCTCTCTAAGCTGCAAAGTTCTAGCATAGAGCTCTCCTTCTCACCACCACCACCACCATCAGTTCGCGCCTGGCGCCTAGTCGATGCATGGTTGGCGGTATTATGCAGCTTAGAGAGCGTGTTTGGGCAGGCGTGTGTTTACCGCCATATTGCCAGGTGTGTCTTTACCACCATATTTATCAACCATAAGTACAGCTGCAGTAGTGTCTTCAACTTCATTCTCCCGAGTCAAGCTCCGTATGAAGACATCCAAGAAGAAGATTGCCTGATGAGTCCAGCGGGGACGAAACTTACGTCGCAATCGAGTTATGTCGTTGCTGTGTCATCTTCTATGTGCCATGCGCTACTTGATGTACCAGCCTGCTATCTCGGATACCGCCAACCATGCATCGACTAGGCGCCAGGCGCGAACTGATGGTGGTGGTGGTGAGAAGGAGAGCTCTGTGCTAGAACTTTGCAGCTTGGGCAGGCGTGTGTTTACCGCCATATTGCCAGGTGTGTCTTTACCACCATATTTATCAACAAATCAGTCTACAATCATATAAAATCATTATGGATGATAGAATGAGGCTAGATGCCATTGACCAAAAAGGCATGCTTTCTATTTTGTTTCAGGCAGGTCGGGGGCGGATACATGTACATGTAGTTGGTTGAAACGGTGAAGGAAGTTACTTCAAAGTATAACTATTAGTTCCGAACAGGTTGATGGGCGAGTTGGTGAGTGTGTACATGTACGCGGGGGGGGGGGGGGGGGGGGTGACCTGCGTGCGACCGGCATCTCGGAGGCGCAATGGTACCTGCATGCTCATATCAAGACCGGAGGGTGCGCGAGCTTACATGTAGCGGTCGGAAGCCACCAAGCCAGCCCCAACCAAGAGTGTTCGTCTGTGTCTGCGGCCGTGACTTTCGCTGTCTAAATGACTTATCTCGACACAAGAATTATTACTGCCTCCCCTTATACAATGTGGCTATCATGCCGTTCAACGGTTCATGGCCTTCGGCGATGGGCTTTCCAAAGATCCAGTGTGTGTGTGTGTGTGTGTGTGTGTGTGTGTGTGTGTGTGTGTGTGTGTGTGTGTGTGTGTGTGTGTGTGTGTGTGTGTGTGTGTGTGTGTGTGTGTGTGTGTGTGTGTGTGTGTGTGTGTGTGTGTGTGTGTGTGTGTGTGTGTGTGTGTGTGTGTGTGTGTGTGTGTGTGTGTGTGTGTGTGTGTGTGTGTGTGTGTGTGAATGGCGAGGGGCGTACTCCAGCGTTGCGTCATCTGGATCACGCCCGCAACCACGAACACCATGCGGTCACTGTCGAAGAGTGGTATGGCCCGACACAAGTGCAAAGAGGGGCGCAGCAAGCCGATCGCAGATCAGATTGGGAGCAGGAAATGCCCGGCGTGTAAGAGATGGTTCAGGAGCGCCGGAGGCCTCGCTGTCCATACGTGTCGACCCGACGACGATCGTTCTACAGGCACATTGGCGGACCCTCCTTTGTCTGCGCCCAACTCGGTTGCGGCAGTACCAGTGCCGGCGAGGACTCAGCAACACTACCCTGCTGCCAGGCTCATTGCAGCGCATGTGGCAGATGCTGCCGATCAAAGAGGGGTTTTCAACTCCACAGCTGCGCAAAGTATACCCGAACTCTCGTTGGCCGCTTGCCTGCGGAGCGTGCTGCGTACCGTAACGACCTACCCCATGTCTGTCGGCCCCTCGGATGAGGGGACATGTGACCGTTTAACGGCAATGTTCAGGACAGGACAGGACAGGTGTGTGTGTGTGTGTGTGTGTGTGTGTGTGTGTGTGTGTGTTTGTGTGTGTTTGTGATGGTGCAATCCCAGCACAAGCTGCTATGGCTTCTGCTGTAGCATCGCTATCATCGCCTCCCGCGATGGGCGTCCAATGGGCGTCCAATGGGCGTGTTTGTGATGTTCTCGTTTACAATGTACATGGATGTTCTCATGTGTTGTAGTTCATAATTATGGCTGCTCTTACTCAGTTAGTCGTGCAAGGTGTAAGTGGTGAGACTGTTGCGGGTGAACGGGAGCGCGTATGCCACATGTCACAGTCACTTGATGTTGTGGGCAATAGTAGCCTAGCCTGTCGTACATGTAGGAGCAGCATAAGACCATATTATTGGCCTGGCCTCAGTCTGTATGACCCTAGACAGGGTACATTAGTAATACTAGTGCATACACTGTACGTCCGTTCAGACCCGGGTATAGCTGTATTAATTTTCATCGTGTCAGACCCGGTTGGTGGGATCCAAGACCGAGACCCCCTCTACCCAATGTCGTTGCAGTCTGGGCCACTAATCATCCTACATGTGTCAGTTCAATATCAGTATCACTCTACTGTTGATCTGGCTGTGGTGTGTTTTCCACCTTGCCAAGCATACTTGCACATGTATACTGTACTGTACCTTGATACTTGTCTTGTTCTTGTTACTTGTAGTAGTAAGTTGTACTGTATCTTGATATTATGCATTGTCTACAGCTCAGTAGTAGCCAGTCTGCATGACAAGTAACTAATTACTAAGTTCAAAACTAAGTATCTTGACATACATTGATGGGGCTACTTACGAGACAATGATGAGCCGGATGAGGATTGGATGCCATGATGGGTGAGAAAGCTGATGCCATGATGGGTGAGAGAGCTGATGCCAGCGAGCAATACATGTGTCGGTATGTAGTCATGGCATTTAACTTTTTGGTAGGTCTAATTCTGAAGTCTGAAGTCTAAATCTTTTGCCAGTCTTGGCTACAGAGCTGGCGTACAGGCAGTAGTCGAACAATCTACTTCAGTACTTGCCAACTCTTGGGTCTAAAGAGAAGGCGGCATATGCATGCACCGATGCAGACAGTTTGAGTTTGAATGAGATCGAGAAGTGACACACCTTTCTCCAGCTGGCTAAGCTTGCTTAGCGCTTGTCTCAGGCACTGCACTGCACCATGTGCACTGGCCCTAGCTGGCTAGCATGCAATATTAACACTGACAGTCTGTGTAGTATTCAGCACGTGCAGCGAGCAACGGCAGTGCATGCTTGAGTGCAAGCTGCAAGGGGTTTGGGGTCACAGGGCAGGTAGAGCTCGAGGGGTGTAGCTGCACCGATGGAACGATGATAAAATCACCTCTACGAGTACTAGCTCTCCTTCAGCGTTGGAAGTAAAGACGCACATTGTAGATCTACATTGCACGAGTTGCTGTAAGCTTTGTTTTATCGCGAAATGCATTCATAGGTGGTATTGTGGTTCCTAATACCAGTAGCCTGTTTATCTCCCTTCTTGTTCGGTGACCACTTGACTTAGCAGCGTAGCCGTGACAATGGCATTTCTACTCCAGTTTGATGGCTATCTGAACGACATGGAAGAGCGTTTTTACGATGCTGGTGCGGCTCGCAGCTGGGCAAGAGATGTTACACCTTATGCTCTCTGCATTGTGGTGGCCTATTTGTCCCTTGTGTTCCTGGGTGTGCGATGGATGAAAGACCGTCCGCCGTTCAGCCTGCGCCGCACGCTGGTGCTGTGGAACGTGGGCCTGGCCTGGTTTAGCATGTTCGGCACGTGGCGGGTTGTGCAGTTTGCGGCGCGAAGGACAGTGCAGGGCAGATGGATAGATGTGATCTGTGATAAAGAGTCTTTCGAGGCTCATGAAGGCGGATTGTGGTCGTTCATTTTCGCCCTGTCCAAGTTTGTGGAGTTCGGAGATACGGCGTTCATTGTGCTGAGAAAGAAGAAGTTGACATTGCTACACTGGTATCACCATGCATCAGTGCTCCTGTATTGCTGGTTTGGTTTCATTGATGCAGCTGCAACGGGCAAGCTATTTGGCCTACTGAATTTGATCGTTCACTCCATGATGTACACCTACTATTCGATAACTGCCACGGGCATGTGGAGGATACCCAGTTATGTGAACATCATTATCACTAGCACGCAGCTGCTGCAGATGGCACTTGGCATCGTTGCCACCAGCATTGCCTACTATCGGCGGGTGAACAACATCGGCTGTGACGTCAGCTACACGCTTATCTATGCTGCGTTTGCAATGTACGCCAGCTACCTAGTGCTGTTCATCAACTTTTTCTACAAGACGTATATTAGCAAGAAGCCGAAGACGAGCTAATGGTTTCAGGCCACCGTGGAATGGAGTCTAGGCAATTTTAATTTATGTCAACTGAACAGTACCACCTTCCAGTATCAACAGGCCGGGTGTGAGGTCAGCGCAACTGTTTGCCAACGATTAAAGACACAGTGCTGTCTCTCTGAGCGTTGCATTATGCGGCTACTTGCACGTCTTAGTTCTCCGCCAAGACTTTGCGTGCTTCCCAGTTCCCACGGCATACACTCATGCACATACATGTACATGTATGTGCAACTCGGCGCACCACAACAACATCTGCAAAGTCGTACAGGTCAACGGCACAAGAACAAAAACAAATCATATGCACGAGACCAGTTCCACTTCTTAGGTAGCTCTTTTTTTCTGGTTTGACAGTCCTTGGGACAAGTTCAAACCCACACTCCGTGACAACATAATTATAGTGAAGGATTGACTTATCGTGATTACGCATTTCTATTGACTTGGCGAAACAAGCCTGGGATGATTGATGTTCAAATTTCCAAATTTCCATAGAAACCAATTTTATCTTTATGTGAAGGCATTCGTTCACTCGAACAGAGAGATGAGCATAACATTTGCCATACCGAGTCACCTTCTGAGGATGCTACTGTTGTTTGACGACGAAATTCATGACCAAAGTGATTCGTATCTTGAAGTACTTCCAATAATACTCGGATGTGTCCCTGCAGGATGATATTATTTATGCGGCCTACTAGTCACTACTGCACTAGTACTTTCTATCATAATTTGTTTTAGAGAAAACCCAAGGCAACCAATTCTGATGCTTCTTTGACATGGCTATGTGCAGTTTGATGTGTTCCGTATTCCTAGAATGGAAGACCGCATGAATGCAAGACTATGGGACCCTTGAGGGAGTAGAACCAATCGTCCATAGGCTATGCCTGAATACCAATCGTCCATAGGCTATGCCTGAATACTCCTGAGTTAGAGTATACTTGGAGTATAGGCTCTGCATGTGCATGTACATGTACATGCACGTCCAGTAGCATATACGGTAGTTACATACGTACAATGTACTTGTAGTCCCACTGTATACAATCATGTATCTGATATCTGATGCACACGTTACTTACATGTACTTGTATTTCGAAGTAGTTGCCAATAATCCCCCAATATAAATGTACAGTACATGTCATCCTCCTGTTGTTACTTGTACCTTAGCACACACTGGTTAGCTATGGCACCTATCCCTACTTGCATAATTTAGTTGTATCCTTCTTTTTGCCTCACCACCCACCTGCTTCTCTTTTATTATAAGTATTCCCTGCACATGTACACAGGGGCGTAGGCAGGGGGGGGGGGAACTTTAGGTGCCAAAGCACCCCCTCAAAAATTTCGATCATGATTCGCAGCTGGTTGAGAGAGACCGTAATGGTAATACGCGGACCGCTGACCGCTGATCACATGTGCAACTCTGCACATTGCGCACTGTAGCAAACCTTGTTCAGGCCAGGAAGTAGTAGCAAGAGTTCATAACCCAATGAACTCTTCGTAGTAGGTATTGTACTGCTGCAGTTTTGTATGATGATTGACCATTTTGCAATGAAACTTCTAGCAAGAGTACATAACGCGTACATAACCCCTGGGGTTATGTACGATTACTCTTGCTTCTACAGTAAATAGTGGATATAACGTGCCCCTTTGATTTTCGATAATTTATCACTATATCCGGTGCATCACTATAGCCGATTTGCATTGTATGACTGACACATGGCACATGACTGTGCATGAAATGATGCGTACATGCCGGAAAAAGCATGAAAAGCAGCCACGTGTACATGTGGCTGCTTACAGCATACAGGAAAGATTTTTCTCTCAATCACGTCTGCTGCCAGATTCATCCAGGCAACACTGGATCAGTTTTGGAAGAAATGAACTAAATTTGAAGAACAATTGTTTTGTGATCATCACTCTTGATCAGTATATACGATATTTTCCTGTGCATTTGATATGGTTTGCTTCCTGAAGCCCATCACAATAAGCGATATATCGGTATAGCCGATAATAGTGTGTATAGTGATATTTTAGCTGTATTTTTTTGTGATTTGATTTTGATTTTGGCGAGTTCGATCATTATAGCCGGTATATTATCGTTACACCCGGTCACTTTATAAACGATACTCACTGTACTAAGTTCTAGTCAACAGTCAAGGGCAACTCCGCTTCGTAGATCTACCTACCGCCAGTACCGGTATACCATTGTGCAGCATTATGTCAGACCTCAGCAGACTAAGCACATGATTTGTATCGCACTCCACATGTTTTGAAAAAAGCAAAGAGTCATATAATTACAAACACGCCATGGGTAGAAGCAAGAGTAGGGGGGCCCCGGGGGGGGGGGGGGGTATGTACTCTTGCCTCTTGGTAGAAGTAGCAACACAGTCCACGGGAAACACACATCAGGCATAGCAGTTTGCTCGCGCTATGTTTTGTATCAGGTACAGTCATGACTCATGACTGTAGTTCTGACGGTTGAGTGTTCGCATTGGAGGTTGTGGAAAAGAAAAGAAGATTCGTTCATGTGTCGGTACAGCAGCAGAACAGTGAAAGTAACGTTGAAGTGGAGTTTGCAGTTTTGTGGGAAATATGGGGTGCGTTTGATGATAAGCTCACCATACGTTGGAAGCAGGGAGTAGTAAATATTACTACTACTTCAGTACCTGGTTGGAGGTTTGCCATTCACTGATTGATTTTCAGTGTCCAATGTGGGGCTAATTTTGCCCCCCCCCCCCCGGCCCCCCACGCCGTATCGCGGATCAAAAACTTTAGTGCATGTACTTTTGTGTGGGGAAAGTTGTAGCACCCCCCTTGATCACAATCCTGGCTATAACCATCGGTTGGCAGAGCCCCTATCTAGTGACCATTTGAACCCTATGTTATGGGGTCTGGCTCTCTCGCTAATCCTTTGGTTTGCAGACTAATATAACCGACTTGTCAGCACAAAAGTCAAAAAGAATGGTTCCACCAATTATATATACATACGTTGTAACGCTGCGTTTCATGCACGTAGCTACATGTAAAATGCTAAGGCAATCATCAGACAACTGATGCTTTTATCGCGGGATAGCTTGTTCTTATTGTGGGGGATACGCATGAGCATGTAGAGGAGGTGTGAGTTATCAATGCAGGGCATGCATGGGAAGAGCGAGTGATAAGAATTACATCACTGGATGGGCATGCGCAGTAGGCGCGAACTATTATTATTATTATTATTATTCGGGAGAATGAAATTGAAGACACCACTGCAGCTGTACTTATGGTTGATAAATATGGTGGTAAAGACACACCTGGCAATATGGCGGTAAACACATGCCTGCCCACACATGCTCTCTAGGCTGCAAAGTTCTGGCACAGAGCTCTCCTTCTCACCACCACCACCATCAGTTCGCGCCTGGCGCCTGGTCGATGCATGGCTGGCGGTATCCAGCATAGCAGGCTGGTACATCAAGTAGCGCATGGCACATAGATGATGACACAGCAACGACATAGCTCGATTGCGACGTACGTTTCGTCCCCGCTGGACTCATCAGTGAGAAGGAGAGCTCTGTGCCAGAACTTTGCAGCCTAGAGAGCATGTGTGGGCAGGCATGTGTTTACCGCCATATTGCCAGGTGTGTCTTTACCATCATATTTATCAACCATTATTATTATTATTTGAGGGATTCCCCAAAGGCCGAAGCCTAAATCAAGGGGGTCTCCGAGAATAAAATTTAATATACGTGTACAATGCGTGTACAATAGGGTGCAATTCTTAAAAGGAAGAAAATATTAAGATAAAAAAATATTAATGTGAAGAGGTTAAATAAGAAGTCTGAGTAGAAGCAAGCGAAAAGGGTACTGGTAAAGAAGGGGGGTAATCAGGAAGTGAGAAAACCTCGAGGATGGAATCTATACCTGTGGAAATGGGACTTAACGTGCCGGCTAAATACACCACGGGCTTCAGATATCCTAATCTCGGTAGGCAGGGAGTTCCACGTGGTGATCATGGAATGTAGTAGAGTGGATCGGAAACAGGGACTATGCATGGAGCGTGCAGAGGCGGAGAAACCACCAGGCAGGACAAGGGTATTACCCGGTAAGCCATGGGGGCACTGGCCAGGGGGTGTGATGTGTGGCGGTGGGAGCACACTGTGGTGTCCACATTCAACAGCTGCGGGTATTCAGAGGATGTGGCGGTGATAGTGGTAGCACGCGGTGGCTATGTCACGGCAGGGTAGGTGGAGAGGTAGAACTTGTTTTGGTGTCTGCACTTTGATACCAACTCCGACCTCTTGTTGAGCAGAGTGTGAGGCGTCTTGAAGGTGATGGTGCGCAACTTTTCTGCTAAACACAAGCAGCACCTTTTGGATATGTTGCTGTAGGACTTGGCCCGATCTATGACTGCCCATTTGATACTGTATTCCTCACCTTGGTCAGCCAGCGCCCATGTGTGCTTGGATAGCTCGGTCTTGGTACGGTACTTTTCATGCCGCATGCTGGTTAGATGGTTGCCATAGCGCACCTTGAAGGGCGTCTCGCACAGGCCGATGTATTGCCTTTCCTCGCCGGTACTTGGGGTTGTGACGGAGGCCTGGTACACCACTTCCCCCTCCAAGCATCCGCCTCCCAAAGGGCATGATGGCTTGGCTCGGCAGTTGCACCCTGCCGCAGATCTCTCTTCACCAGGCGTTAGTACCTTTTGGTTATGTCCCTTCATCAGGTAGGACATGTTGGGCATGCAGGAGTAGCTCAACTTCAATGTGTTTCTGTTGAAGATCTTGTGTAGTGGCGACGCGGCAGGGAAATGTTTGCTGACTAGTTTGAAAAACCTCTGACCGATATTGGTGGATACAGATTTGCTGTATGGTGGGTTGTGCCATGTTATGTTTCTCCTCCGCTTGTTCTTCTTCTTGGTGGGCCCACCACCGTCGAACACCATGGCCCCTGGAAATCCGCTGGCAGATAGCGCAGCTCTGTATGCGGGTGCCGCGTTGGTGAATGCCTCCTCGTCGCACGAGATGTCGGACACCCGCCTATTGATCATTGCAGGTAGATTCCGGAGTATATTGGGCGGGTGATTCCACTTGGTGTGTATGTATCTGGGTGCGTCATTCGGTTGGCGGTATGGGTGGTAGCGGCCGCTGGCTAGATCAAAGGTGACGTCGAGGAAGTCCACTGTCCTCTGGTTGGTACTGATGGTTATTCGTAGGCCAACGTCTTTGAATAGCTTCGTGATTGCCTTGGGGATGGAGTCTGCCTCGCCTCCTGTAGTAGTCCTGAGCACGGCCAGCCCGTCGTCGCGGTACAGCCCGACACTAGCCGGATCATACAATGTCATATCCGCGAGTCGTTTGATCAGGAACGCTCTCACTAGTTGGCACACCTCTGCCCCATCAAAACTTCCCATCGTCACATCGAATAGGCTCTGCCTGTCTTTCTTGGCCCACACCTTGCCATTGGCAAATAGCAGCGACTTTCGTGCGTGGAGAATTACGTCGATGTCGCACTGGGGAATGGGAGTGAATTGGGCGGCGAACTCGAGAGCCGTTTTGAGTAGCTGCTCCGAGATGGATGGGTAAAACTCGACTATGTCGAAGCTGACAAACGAGTAATGCTCCTTGTCCTGTATTCCCTTGAACCACCGGATCACCTCGGTGGAGTTTTTCCACAGGTTGGTCTTGGTGTGGCTCTGAACTGACCGGATGATGCGGTCGAGAATCGCCTTGCTGATGACGCCAACCTCTGTTTTAGCGGGGTTTATGAACCATGGGAAGGCTTGAGTGAAATTCTCTT